AATTAATGGATAGGCAATGGGTCCCATTCAAAACCTAAAATAAAGTACTTAAAATAGGGAAAATTTGTGATTAAGGTAAATTTAATCTAATGCTTTAACCTTTCAGAATCACCAATTTTAGCAAACACTCAGTGCCGAGAAGATGACACGAAAAAATTATTTTTTGAAATACAGCTTCTCTGTAAAAATTTTTTGACCAAAAATAGAGATTATAGAGCGTATTGCCCATTTATGCTAGCTTTACCTTATAAGGAATCGTTTTTCTGGTGTAAAAAGTGAGCTGAATTTAGGCTGGAAATTAATAATTTTCAGAAATCTCTAAAATTTTAACGAAAAGCTACACTCATTTTTTATGAGTAATTTCTTGGAGTCGACCTGTAAATAATAGAACAAAATCTTCTTGAATTGGTGGATTCGTTTTTAAGAAATTCCAGTCAAGCTTTTGCCGAGAACTTTCTTGAGAACTAGAACTAGAATTAGAACTTATATTAAAGTTAAAAATAAGTTTTTCCTATTGTCAAAAGTTTCGGAGAATGCCTTTAACATTCTTTGAGGTATTATTTTTTCTTTTCCCAATGACTTTTCCTGTATATTGTGGTCACATTAAATTTTATGAATCGCCTAATTTAGACCTCTTCTTTTGACGACACCGACAATACGCACGACTATTGGCAAGAGACAAGCAATGCCAATTTTAGTTACGTTTTTCTATCTGAGGTTTGTGTGATAACGAATAACTCTAGATTATGTAAACTTTAAAAAAAAGCAATGTTCACAAAATTATCAAACTAAACGTTGGTATTCAGTTGAAAAGTATCCAACAGAAATGCCTCTACAACACGTTGGTTCTCATTACAAATCGACTATTCAACTATAAAGAAGGATTATTAAAAGTTTAAAATGTAAAATCATATGGAAACTTCGCAAAATTCAGGATTTTCCCAATCTTCCCGATGAGTATTGCACCACTTTTTCGGTGGTTCTTTTGGGAAGGCCAGGTTTGTGAAAAGAGCCAGAGATTGTCCGATAATTTAACAGCTAGCACAATTATAATATTGTATATTTAGTGAACTTGGAAAATTCAATTTACAAAATGTAATTGAATCAATCTTTTAAAAACTAATGACATCAGCAAGTTTGTAAGGTTGTTGTTCAAAGATTCATTTGGAACCTCTGCTTCGTGAACCAACTTTCAAAGACTAAAAAACGTTTCTTCCTCAGCAAAAAAGTTCTGTATTATTCAAAAATGGACCAATGTAGCTTATGTAGAGACTCTCAACCGGTTGTGGTGATCAAATACCAAATGAAGGTCAAACATGTACCACGGGTTGTTCGATGCAGATATTGTATTTGGAACGGAGAACTATTAACTTTACCAATCCAAAAAAGGAAAGGAAAAAAGTAGAACGGCGGACTCGAACTTGAGATGGTTTGCTTTGTATCCCAACCCACTGCCACTCGGCCACAACTACTTCTAGAAGCCTCTGGGAAATCTGCTTATAAACTTGGGAAGGGGGTAACTTTTGAAATCTCATTCAAAACTTTGTACGCTTATAACTTTTGATAGAGTGCTCCATAGCAGAAACGAAGAGCAGATTCGGAATCGGCGTTGAATTCTGCGTCAAATGGTCTATGGCCCATTTTGCCACCACATCCAGTGGACATTTCCTTGTTAGTAAGGCTCTACATATCCCTAGTCGGGTGGCACTTGGAATCAGTGGACTGTAGCTCAGTGGTAGGGCAGCCGCGATAAGTGGAAGGCCGTGGGTTCAACTCCAGCGGTGCACATTTGATTTTCAGCCCCACACGAAAATAACCGCGTGGTCCAACTTCTTTAACGCCCAGCCAATTTCAGATATATCATTCAAAAGCTTTGAGAGCCGGTACGGGAAGTTCACCACTAATCTTCTTCAAATCAACAACATTTCTTGTCTCACCGAGATCACAGTGAGTTGCATTAACTTGTCTATTTGTCATTAACTGTCATCTATTTGTCATTCATTAACTTCTCATTAATTTGTCTAAACTTGTCTATTTCATTTTAGCGTTGTATTCCCCCATGTGGAGACGTGCCAGTGAGACAATGTGATACCACGATCACATGCTCGTACCCCCAGCCAACCACCACACCCCCATTGCCAATAACTACATCGACAGCCGTCAGCCCGTGTAGCATGTGCGAGTTTGTCGTGAATCAGGTTGCTCAAATACCGTGTTGTTCCTAATAACAGTGTACACTACTATTCTTGACTCCCCTCCTTAGCATTACTATTTGATTGTGGGACATTTGATATTTGTGGCGCCCCGCCCCTTTTGCTATGGACAATCCAACTTTGAGCTCGAATATCTTGGTGTTGGGCTGTCCAATTGGAATAGTTTTTTTACAAATCGATAGAGAAAGACTTGGCGCATCTAATGATATCAAGAATATTTCAATTCCTCAGCCCAACACCAAGATATTCGAGCTCAAAGTTGGATTGCCAGTGTCAATGGTGCGTATCAAATGTCCGATAACCTTACTATTCGGGAGAGTCCGGTTTTTCGAGAGGCGAATATAGTTATGTCTCATTTTTAGGGAAAGTTTCACTTCCATCAAAATGAGAGCAAACGGCTAGTGGAGATGGAGCTCTTGAGGGTAAGAGATCAAAATTGAAGCTAAAGTCGGAAGGCTTTGATGAAAAATGATTTGGGAGACCGTTTAAAACTTGGTTGCCATGGAAAGGCAAAAAAACTGAAACTAGCTGAAGGTAGTGTTGCGCTGTAGCTGTAGCTGTAGCAGTTGTCCGACTCCACTCAATTCTCTGGCTTTTTGAATTAAAAAAAGGATCACGTGGTCCAGCTATAAGTGATCTACTCAAATTTATCCTTTTCTTTCAGGATTGCGAATCTTTGCGCAATTTATATGGGCCACAAGCGGTGATGGACTGTGATGGTTGGATACGGGGAAATATTGACATCGTCTACAAGGATCTGCAAAATGGTTCGTTCTTTGAGGAAAATAGATATTCTTCGATTTTTCAGGGAAATCAGCCTACCAAATCTGCGTCGATATGGGCGAGTGCAGCTGAAATTGAGAGGGCAAAAATTTTTTGAAAATACAACGGTGATTACAAAATAAAATTGTTTAAACTGAATGAAGCTACTTTTTTTGATACTCCATAAAAAGTTGTTTTGAGCTTTATTGATGTAGAAAAGATTTTATTAATGTAAAAAGAAAAAGCGAAAAAAATATGGCGTAGGGGAATCGAACCAGGGCCAAAGTAATGTAATTCGTAGTGTTTTTAGCGGTAAACCATTGCTTCTGTGTTCAAAGCGCTGAGTAAACTCGGCCATTTTTCTCTTGATTTGTTGGAATTTAGTGACCGTTGACTGAAAACTTTGGAACTTTGCTAACCTCTTACTTGTAGGACACCACTCAGCATAAAAGACGACAACCCATGAATGTCCGGAGTTTATCACTTTCTATAGTTAGTCTTTGATCAGAAAGCAGAAATCACAAAGAACAGTAAAAGGGGTACATCAGAAAAGATTTGAATTTGAATTTTGAAAAGAGTACTTCAGAAAAGTTTTCATTAGTCAAACGAACAGTGCTCAAGACGTGGCTATACTATCCCCTACTATCTGGGTACTTTTTTGAGGCGAAATAATTTGGCCCTATACCGCAGCGTCTTTCCAAAAAACGCCCAAACTTCAAGAGCTTTTCTCGTATTGATTCAATAAAATTAAAAAACCAGTGTCTCTTAAAATTTTGAGGAGTTTTTGAGATAGATCTCATTTCCTAACTCGATGTCGAGTTGAAACAATGTTGTTGAACAGCTTTTGTTGGCCTATTCTACTTAATTCGTTACTCATTTTGTTCTCTTTGTGAAAGACTTGTCATTAACTATCTTTTCTTTTCCATTCTCTAATCAAATTTTTATTTAAAGTTTTCCAATTGTATTTATAAACCACTTTCTATATGCTTTGTTATTGCTAGTTATTGAGTTACTCTTTTTGCAGTTATCTTCGCTTTCGCTTTCAGAAAATTTATTGTAAACAGAATATAGCAATGGAAAAGAGTACTACAAGACAATTTGATAATTTGATCGACTTGCTCTTTTTGACCTTAAACCCTTACCTACGCCGCATTTATTTTGGTTTGGCTTATGCATAAAATCATCTCTCCCTAACCTCATCCGGAACTTAAGGACTCTTTAAGTTTCGAACACGCCAGAAGAACTCGAGTCACAACTTTCAGATTACCCCCCAAAGTTCAAACCGCCAACGACATTCTTTGCTTGTCGTGTTCCTCGTATTTGGAATAAGTTACCTTGTGATATTTTTTCGTCTCTGAACTATTTTAAATCCTCAATATATAAGCTCGATCTTGTAGCTCTGTCAATTTTAAATAATTTAATACATATAACACGGTCAATGAGGTGTTTGTATACAATTATCTTTCTCGTCTACGCTGTCAACTGGATTGTCACTTTTCCTTGTCGGATAAAGTATATATATAAGCTTCGTTTCACTTAGAATACACGTATCAAACTAAGACATTATCAAAAGTTCATACTTGTTCTGGGAACCGTGCAAAGACACCCTTATTCATCAAATCAAATCAAATATCAAATCAACTCAAATCAGGGAAGAAATTTAGTCCAAAATCCTTTCCAGTTTCTCCGAAAAAATCTTCCTTAACTATTGAACAAGAAATATTAGCTTGGTAAATATGAAAGGTTATTTTTCGATCATTTTTAACATAAAAGAAAAACTTATTTAAACGCTTTCAAAATCAAATGTATTCACCAGAAGCATTAATAACTTCTTTCCAACGTCGCCCCAAATCACGAATGCCGTCCCCGTAAAATTGAAGATTTTTAGAGGCAAAACAGTTGGCAACCCAATTTTCGATGTCCTGCTTTTGCTTGAACTGCCCTCCAGAAACCGCTTGTTTCATAGACCGAAGAAGGTGGTAATCCGATGGGGCTAGATCAGGGCTGTATGGTGGGTGTGGTAGAAGTTTCCATCCCAAACTTATCGATCTGTTCGTGGGCGACCTTTGAAATGTGCGGCCTAGCATTGTCGTGAAGAAATCTGACCTTTGATGGATCGATCCGCTTCTTCCTCAGTGCTCGACCGACTCGACCCAGTTGTTCTGCATAAAGTCTTCCATCAACACTCTCGCCTTTATCTAATACTTCAAAATAAATCAATCCCTTACTATTCCACCACACACAGAGCATAACTTTCTTCCCGTGTATCGGAGGCTTCGGGATTGGATGAGGGGTCTGCTTCGAACTCAGCCACTGTCCATAGAGTTGAATGTTTTCATACGGAAGCCAAGTCTCATCAGATGTCAAAAAGTGATGATGGTGAGCTTTGCGTAGAAGAAAAGAGCTCAGGGTGACTCGTATGGCTTTGTGGACATCAGTGAGCCACTTCGATATGATTTCCCAAGAACGTGTAAATGATTTTCAATGGTAACATGAGTGCATCCGAACTTTTCTGCTAATTTTCTACACTTTTGAGATGGCTCCAAGTCGACCTCGTTCAGTAACAGCTGATCGTCCAAAGTAATCGGTGGCTTTCCATGTGGTGCATCTTCCAATGACTCGTTTCCCATTTTGAAGCAATCGTACCAAACACAACATTGTTTGTAAGTAAGAGCAGCTCCTCCAAAAACAGTACAAATGTTCTGATGGCATTCCGTAGCTTTCTTGTTTAACTTGAATTCAAAGAATATGAAAGCCCTGATTTTAAATTTTTGGTCATCCAGCTTTGTCGAGCTGAATTAATACAAATATTACTCAAAATAAAAAAGTTTTGTGCAAAAATAAACATAAGTACATTTTGACATATTATTGAGAAAAATCCTAGACAGCGAAATTCGTAACGACAGAGCAATATTTTTTGTAAAAAATAACTTTTCATATTCACCAAGAACTTAAGGTTCATTTTGCGCAAAAAGCTGAAACCAATATTTTCTGGGATCTTCCCAATCGAAACAATATTTAGCAATGAAAAGCCACTTCTTTATCGGCGCCCGAAAATACCCGAAATAGTATTCACCGGTGCATAAATGTTTAGAAAAGAGGGAATTTCTGTGTTTGATCTCGGCGAGTCTCTTTCCCATTTCACGGAATGGTTTATGACCGACGGGCACATTCGTTTTGGATACCTGATCACTCTGATCTATCATTTGAAACTCTTCAAATGGTCTCGAAACACCACTTCCATTGATCCATTCCATGTCCTTCTCATGGCTTTCGAACACCGTTCTGAACGGATCGACTGCACGGTCTCGTTTCATGTGGCCGACGAAGTGGAGAGCCACGATCATTCCACGATGAGACCCGGACGGCTGAAAATCCAACAATTTTACTAGGTAGATTTTCTAAATTACCGTAAAAGCTGTAATAGTAGGCTCCTCTAATCGTAGCCCCCCCCCTCAGAGGGCCAACAAAAAAATAGTGACCCCTTCCCTCTAATAATAGCCACCCAGCCATCCCCCCTTCTCTAATAATAGCCTTCCCCCAAATTTGCATCTGCTTTTGACTGAATATTCACGAGGATTGGATTTTGCTGCAAGCATCTGAGCGCAGGAAAGATAAACCCAAAAGGCTCCTGGAATGGGCATCTACTTAAAATGGATTGTTGATGCTTGGGATTCAATTTCGGAAAACTCATTCGTTGATCCTTCACAAGTGGAATCGATTCAAGTGGTGCCGACGACCAGCTGATCCACTGTTCTAAGCCCGATGGCTCGATTCCTACAGAACTAAAGTTACTCAAGGATGCACGTGTAGAAAAAGAAGTCGATGAGCTCATAGATCTGCTTACTTCAGCAAATCTTCTCGATTTTCCCCCAAAAACAGATATATGTGAGGAAGAATTTGGATCTGATACATCAGTATGTTGATTTTTAAATAGTGCCCCCTGGGGCTACTATTACAGCTCTTATGGTATAAATTGCTACTATGTATTTCGGTTTGTCGCATTGTTAAACCTGATATTTGCCCCCTTTTTGCTCAAACTAGTGTTGAGAAATCAAAATTTGATAGGGTTTGTATCGACTCGAACGAAGTGGGTCAAGTCTTCGGGGTCGTATTTTAGCGAACCTTTAATCTAAGGAAGGGCATTTCTATTTTGAAATCTTGCATCTTCTACATTTTTCATTTTATGGAACAAACCTCGGACTCGATTCGTCTTGAATTTCTCATCCATCCATCATAGTTTAGAAGATCATCCAGAGCTCGGTGAATCTCTGTCACATCGCCGAATTGTATTGAACAATACTCGAGGTTTGGGGAAAGGATTCTCGGGAAAGAGACTGGATCTTGTAGGTGATAGATTCTCCCGTTGCTATAGGGTTCTTTCGCAAAAATTCTCTCATAGTTGAGCCCAGGGACAGATAAATTAAGCTGATTATCAACGATTGGACAGTCAAAATTTAGAAGAAAATCTTCGATAATTTGGTTGTTGTTAGGTAAATTTCCCATTTTGATCTTCAGATTAGCCACCTGTCGTAAATGAGACAAAAACGTTCGTCTACTAATGGGTCGTAGAAAATTGTCCAAATCGAGATTTACCGGATTCAAGGTAATTCTCAGGGTTTTACACGAGCGAATCTGGGCAATGATTCGAAGTGTGACCTCTTGGAGACTTTTTCTTCCATCCTCAACGGTCAACGTTAACCGTTTGATCCTTTTATTCGAATGTGTTGTAAAACAAAGCACATCCCAGTCATTCCAGAGTAAATCGTGACGAAATTTTGACGACAAATCAAAGAATCGCTCGTCGCCCCACGAAATCGAGTTGATTTTTAGAGGGATTTTCTGGGAAATGGTGATAGTAAGACGATCGATCCTTCTCGGAAACGGCCCATAGAATAGATAGTGTTTCCGAAGGGTTTTCGTCGATTTAAACAATTTGAGAGCATCGGGATAGGCAACATCATCCAGTACTTGTTTTTTCAGTTCGTTTGGAAGCAATGGAAAGCAGAAAGAGTTTTCTCTCTGAAATAGGACTTTGCTCAATGGAGATCCCATATATTTGGGGAAAGAAATGGAAATTGAAACGGCCGGAAAGAAGGATCTCTTGGGCAAAAGGCAATGAGCTATCTCCTGTGAGAGGAGCATTGTTTTCGAGTGTAAAGGGGTAACACGTGGAACTTGATGAGATTAAGCTTTTCTCGGGAGGGCCGCAGAGGCCCAGAGACAACTTTTAGTGAAACATTGGGTAAATGGGTGAAGAGCTATGGGAAACCCCTTTTCCTACTTTCTATTAGGGTGAGGCATAAATAATGACCCTCTCCTGTATTTCTGTTTTTCTAACTCGGGAAAAACTAACTTTCTAACTAACTTAAGTCGGCCTTTTTGAATCGGCCCTAGCTAAATGATAGAGTTCTGAAAGCTGAAGCTAAATTTCTTTAAATCAAAACAAAAAACTATCCTATCAACTTTGACTTTTAGCCTTGACTACCAGAGATACTTTATACTGAAGCGAGAAAACACGGCTAAAAGTTGATAACGGCTCAATTGTTTTGATTTGGTTTTCGTATTGTGCTCATTTTAAAATGTTGAATTGCGTTTAGAAATTAGGATGTTTAAATAATTACAAGCCGTTTATTAACAGTAAACCAAGCACAACAGAATAAACTTTTTCTAAAAATCTTCCACTTGTTAGTTCCTAAAGAAAGGCATTACTTTCTCTTGCAGCAAACTCATTGTGACCAAAAATCTCATGAACATCAATGGAAAGTTGCTCAAATTGAAGATTGTCATTTACCACATCATCGCGAGGGAGTGGCCATCTGAAAAGATAGAAAATTGAGTAAAGTAGTAGAGTAAAGTTTCACCTTGTTCGAGGGGCCCGGCTGATCGGAGTCGGAGGCGGCCTCAGCTTCAGCGATCGTCTTCAGCAGAAGGCCCGATCGACGACGCTTTCGCCGATTAACCGCAGCAGCGGCGGGCGATTTGACGGGCGAGTCGACCGGTGATCCTGAGGGCGATTTGGAGGGCCCAAAAAAGGCATTTCTTTCTCTGGCAGCAAACTCATTGAGGCCAAAAATCTCATGAACATCAATGGAAAGTTGCTCAAATTGAAAATTTCTTCTTTCTTCAGTTTCTTTGCAGTTATTGTGTATTTTGGGTCAAGAAATAAAAGTTCATCAAGATTTAACACAAGTTTTCGATTTGGCACGTTTCTATTTACGTGAAATTTCCACGTTTTGCAAAGCGTTTTTTTTACAAAGGAGCTGTATTTCAAAAAATAATTTTTTTCGTTTTATCTTCTCGGCACTGAGTGTTTGCTAAAATTGGTGATTCAGAAAAGTTAAAGCATTGGATTAAACCTTAATCACAAATTTTCCCTATTTTAAGTACTTCATTTGAGGTTTTAGATGAGACCCATTGCCTATCCATTAGCCCATTAAAAACTTGTTTAAAGGCTGGTCACTCAAAAAGTGACCAAGTCACTTTAGCTGAAGAAATCTCTTATTTCTTTACCTGAAGCCCACTCTGATTTTTTTTGTCAAAAACTTTTTGAAATATAGTCAAGTTTATCAAAAAATCTGGGAAGAATTCATGGCTTGGTTTTTGAAAAGTCACCGTACAAACTTTTTCCGAGAACTTTCTTTCCAACCTAATAGTTGAATGTATCAAATGATAACCATATCGTTAGACATGAAATTAATGATCAAGCAAATATCAGGCAATTTTTAGCAAATATCAAGACAACGGTGATCTTTCATGAGAAAAGAAAAGAATTAAGGAGAAAAGTTCCAAACTTATATGGAGCTTTGCAAAGCCAGCAATTCAACGAGTGAAAGCTCTGGCTCGGCTCTGGAAACATTTTGTGCAGCCCTAGATGCAATAATAATAATATAAATTGAAAGTGAAAGCAAAGAATTTGAGCGATCAATGAGCGAGGGAAAACAAAGGAAAATGACGGGGTCACTTATAATAAGAACACATAAAAAAACCGTGAAAAAAGTTTTTATCGGGAAGGTTGTTTGTGGTTTGTCTTACAAAAGAATTCCTTGTGAAGATTTCATGTCTTTGTTCAATAATAAGTAAGAATTGAAGTTAAATACACGTTTATTTCCCCTAGTTTTCTTCTACCATCGGAGGAATGAGTTCATCAAATGAAAATGGGCTGCCAATGGAAATCTCTCTCTTTGTTCCATCAAAACCGATCGGTCGAAGGATTTCTTCTTGTTCTTCTTTGATTATGGGTTTCAATTTCAAATCGGCAATAAAGGGGTGTTCCTGAATTTGATGTGAGCAGCTTCTGACAAAATACTTTTTAAGTGTTCAATTGTAATTTTGAACTTACTGGAACTTACTGGTATATAGAACTTACTGGTAATATAGAATACCTAATGCAAAATAATGATAATAAGAAGTATGTTTATCCCAAAAAATTTTGAGTAAAATAGTCAAGGAAAAGCTCTCAAAAAGCTAGCTAAAAGTTTCACTTTAAAACAAAATCTCACCTCACTGAAAGTGATCAAACTCAAGAGAATCTCTCGAGCATTCAATCGATATTGGCGATTGAAGGAAGTACATCTAACGTATAAAAAAATATTGCATTCTTGTTTACAAACCTTTCAACAATAATCTGTAATCCTTGCTGGCAATTTGGAACGGATAACTTCTCAAGCGTCTTGTCGTGAACCGCCAGAATGAAGTCGTCCCGATTGAAGGCGCCTTTAGGGCCGTACTCAAGAAATACAATCCTTAAAAATTTTGCTTGAACTATGATTTTTTTTTATTTGAAATACCGTATTTACTCTATTATTAGTGCGCAGTACTATTTTTTCGTGACGGCTCAGACCGCAGTACTATTAGAAACGCAGTGCAGTACTATTTTTTTCGATCTACCCCCAGCCCGCAGTACTACAGTAAATGAGAGCAATCCAAAGCCTGCAATCCTGCAATCAATCTGCAACCCAATTGCATTATTTTCGTCATAATTCTTGAAAGAAAAGCAAGTTGATTGCTCGCAGGCGCATGCGAAAAGCCCCCTTTATTAGGCCGATGAATCAAAATAAGAGGTTGGATTTTGCAGACAAGAGACGGCGAATTGACTGGGGCTCAGTAAGTCAATTAAATTTGTGTTTGATAATTTTTCATTGCTTTAGATCATTTGGTCAGGTAAAAAGAAATTCAATTGTGATGGGCCGGATGGTGGTTGCTACTATTGGCACGACCTACGTAAAGACAAACTGCACTTTTCGCCGATAAACTTCATAGGAGGAGGAGTGATGTGCTGGGCGGCCTTCTCATCGAGCGGACGGATAATTGGTTTTTGTGCCAAAGAAAATGAACTCGAACCAGTATCAGTTTGTTTGTGCTTCGACGATTTCTACTTTCCTTCCGGAGCCGCAATCGTCATCGAAATTTGGTGTTTATGCAGGACAATGCGGCAATTCACAGCCAATTCACAGCAAAGCACGACAGCCTGGCTCCAAAGGAAGGGAATCCCACTCTTGGACTGGCCAGCCAATTCACCGGATTTAAATCCGCAAGAAAACATCTGGGGCTATATGGTCAGAAAGATTTATGAAGAAAGTAACACCCCTGGAAGCGTCAGCCAGCTTAAAAAGGTAATTATTAAAGCTTGGGAGACTGTCGATCAGAATCTCGTTGATAGCCTTGTGGGAAGCATGGACAATAGACTTTTTCAAGTAATTCTAATCAATCGATTATTGATTTGTTAACTTTTATCAGTTATTGCTCATTTTGTTAAAATTGTTAACTTTTTTTCAACATCAACAATGCCTTCCAAATTATGACCAGCAATGTATTTGCAAAAAAATCGCATAAGCAAAGAACTGGAAAATTGCCAACAACGGGAATTCAAAACCAACATTACTTTTTCTTCAACCTAATAGTAAAACAAAAGGCTTGCATTTGAAGCCATCATCACGAGCAGTCAGCATCACCGAGATTCTCATTTTGTCGTGGCTATTGAAAGAACAGAAACTTCTTTGGATCCTTTTTCAGCAATCGTTAAACTGTTCGAGGCATCAAGAAACCTATCAACAAAATCTATAAACAAAACTTATAAAGAGTCAACACTGAAAAGGAATGACGAGAAAAATAGCTTTGAAAAATTGATGTAGGAAATTGAAAGATATTCAGCCAAAAATCTGGAACACATTTACTTAATTAGCAAAGAAATGGGCTACAAAATACTCACAAATGGAAATTAACTTTGGATAAACGCAAATTTGCGTGCACTATTATTAGAGGCGCAGGACTAATAGAGTAAATACGGTATATGTTTTAGTTTGTGCTTAAATTCATAAACCTTCTCTCAATGATCTCCCACAGGACAAGTCCCAAACTATAAACGTCGTTCCGGTGGGAGTCCTAAAGAATTCCAGTTGAAGTCTTCTTTTTTGTTTGGTTTACGCTATGGTTATGGTTATGGTTTTATTTCCGGACAGCTTACATGAAATCCATTTACTTTTTCTCCTTGTGAGGGACTCATATATCGTTGTGTTCCTTGGACGGTCCCCGTACATGTCTCTTCGATCTTCTTTGCAAGTCCGAAATCCCCGAACTTCACCCGAAAGTCCATGGTGACAAAAATGCTGAAAACGTGGTTTCTTTATGGTTGCATTGTTTATTTTTGGTTATCGAACGAAAAAATGTAGCTAATGTTATTAGGCTGGTAAAGTTAGCTACACTAGCTTCTTACAATTACAGGGTGATGAAAAAATTCCTGCACATTTGTAAATGATTCATTTTCTGAATGAAAGCTAAAACAAAATTTGCCGTATTTTATAGTATTTTGAAGCTGAAATTCTGACGAACATTTCTATAAGTAAATCACTCCGATCAGAAATTTCCAGTCTTTTCAAGACGCCTTGCACTGTAAGACGCCCATAAGACAAACACGGTTTTACATGTTTTCGAATAACAAGTTTTTCAAGACTATTTTAGGTTTTTGTTTTGACAAAAGATTTTATTCTTTTAAAATAACTATTGAACTGTTACTCAAAACAAAAGTCTACATTTAAAAAGGCTTTTGAAGGATTTTTCAATTGAAAACAGGTTAAAATAGGTAACATGACAGTTTGCCATGACAGTTTGCCTACAGCACACTACTATGCCTCTTTGGAAACCTGGGTGGCTCTGATCAGGATGGTCTAGGTGTAGAAATGTTCTCCAAAATTTGAGGTTCAAAATTCTATTTAGTTAGTTAAAATATAGTAACTCCAATTTCGATCTGGGTTTTCGCTGAAAAACAGGGCTGCTTTTGTAATACAAAATCCTTTTTGAATGTAGACTTTAAAGTCTCCGCACAAAAGTGTGCGGGGTCTTTTTGATCACCATGTAGTAGTTCGGGCAAAATCGCCTAGAGTAGACAAAAAAACTAAATTGGATAGATAACGAGTTTGAAAGATTTCAAAACTGATTTTGAACCGATTTTGAATAGGATTAAGTTATTCATTTTATGCACATAATATTGCAAACTTCTTCTCACTTTTCGGGCTTAATGTCCCGATGAACGAACTACGCATCTTTGTACATGTATCCCAGAGCAGCAAATAGGCTTTCTGCCCATGAAATCACTGTGTTCATCGTGTAAATAATTGTTGGGTTTTGTAAAACTAAAACGGTAAAGTTCAGCTTACTTTTACTTCCTTTTACTCACGTGTACCCAAATTTCCTCGTTGACAATATTCCATGACGATTTCGAGCTTTCCATCATTTCCCGTTTCCATGCGAAGCAATTTGACGACATTTGGGTGTTCGAGTCTATTGAGGCACTCGAATTCTTTCTGGAATGTGGCTGGATTGTAGTTTCTCGTGTGCATACATTTCACAATGGCTGGCCTGAAATGTTGAAAAGAATGCTTCGATAACAAAATTGAATTTGATTCAAGCTTCATCTTTTACAAATTAGAATTTTAAATTCTATTAGTTTGCAAACTAAGTCTTGATTCAAAATTCAAAACAATATTTATTGACAACCAAAAGAGCAATTGAATCGAAATAGTCTCCATTATTTGCGATGACTTTCGTCCATTTTTTTCTCCTCTCATAGAAAATTTTTGGTTTCGAGTTAAGTAGTCTTGGAGCCACTTTTTGAGGTCTTCTTCGTTTTGGAAGTGCCTCCATCCAGGGCGTGTTCGGTACTTGTGGAGTATCCGGGGGGGGGGGGGTAAAATTTTAAGATCCGGGGGGTAAAATTTTATATACGTTATACACGACCCCTTTTAAAGATATTCAGCCGCTTAAGTGATTTGGTGGCAAATTCCCTTCAAATGTAAAGTTATTCAATTTATTGAGGTGATTACTTGATTACGTGTTTCGAGGTGATACTCGATCAAAAACGTAACTTCTACAAAATTTTTTTATGTCATTATTAAAAATGTTGATAATATCCTAGTTGGCGGGTCATTTTTTTTTCTTCAAAACCATTTTTTGAGGTAGTTTTATGTGTTGATGTGGGTCCGGCAGATGCCCAACCCACATGTGGTTTTGAAGAAAAAAGTGGTCCCCCAACTAGGATACTATCAAGAGTTTTTTTTAGAATGCGATATTCTGAGGTGAACGCGCTTTCCGAGCGTGATGCGATTGATATTTTTGTTCAAGCAGGAGTCCTTGCAGCACCAGCATGTGGATGTGGTCGTAAAATGAAGATTCGCAGTAAGGAGAAGAATGTTTATCGTTGGGAGTGTGACAAGTGTATTCGTGAACGAGCCAAAGGAAATAGAGCAATAAAGGGCATGAGAGTAAACAATTTCTTTTTCTCTTTCACACCGCCCATTCCATGAACTGGTCAAATATATGTCGATTTGGAGCTCTGGACATCACTCGATTGATTTTCTCAAAGACGAATTGGGATGGGCCAATAACACAACGGTTGATTGGAACAAGTATATGCGCCAAGTATGCGCTTGGATTGTATCAGGAAAGCAGCAAGGACAAATTGGGGGCCCTGGACTCTCGGTTGAAATTGATGAGACGCTAATTGCAAAGAGGAAAAACCACAGAGGGAGAATCGTACCAGAAAGTGGGTATTTGGCGGCATATGTCGTGAAACGAAATCATATTTTGCCGTCATTGTGCCTGATCGATCCTCGGAGACTCTCATTAGAGAAATCCATCTCTTTAATGCGCCAGGTTCTCATATTCTTTCCGATGGATGGAAAGCATACCGCCCTTTGGGGAACGACAAACAATACACTTGGGGATGGGTAAATCATAGCGTGAATTTTTTGGATCCGAAAGATGCGACTATCCATACGCAAACAATAGAACGCTTCTGGCTTCTGGCGACCAAAGATAGCAATCGATTTCGTCATGAAACCCACGAACACATGATTGAGTCATGGATTGCTGAAGGACTCTGGCGCCTTAGTTTGCCCAAAGGCGCGGACGCATTTGAGCAAATTCTCAAGGATATTGCTCATTTTTGGCCTCCTGGCCTAGAAGTAAATTCTATAGATTTTTACAAGTAGTATTCATTGTCACTGTTACAAATACAAATATTCACTGTTGTACTTCACAAATTTATTTAATTATTATGTTTGGTTTATGTTTATGTTCTTGCATTACTCGTGCATCTTGTTTATTCGTTGCTTTTATTTTATAGTTATAAAATTTAGTTACCACACGCAAACAGCGGCAAAGCCAAGAGGATCGAAGCCTGGCAAAGTTCTATTAACAAGAAAAACATTGGCATTTGGTTGGTTTTTGAAAGTTTACCCCGGATCCTAAAATTTTACCCCCCCCCCCCGATATTGAAAGACCCCCCCCGGATACTCCACAAGTACCGCGTGTTCTCATCGATCAGAAAAGATGGTAATCTGTAGCACTGATGTCAGGAGAATATGGCAGATGGGGTAAGAGTTCCCAGTTCAACTCAGGGATTGTGGAGCTTTGCTGTATTTGAACTGCCGTTGTCGTGTTGGAGAATGACCTTTTTCAAATTGGAGTGCTTTTCATTAATTTTCTCATCAATTTTTTTGAACTGGTCGCTTTATAATAGAGCCTTGATTGTCTGCTTATTATCAAGAAGCTCCCAATGACATCTATAAATGACATCTAAGATATTCCACCAAAACGATAGCATGTACTTCTTCTGGTGAGGGGGTCTGGGTGCACATCCTTTGCTGGTGTAACTCCAGGTCCCACTCATCGTCGATTTCTCTGAAAGTTTGCAGTCACTTCTTATCTCCTGTCACTTCACGCGGCAAAAAAGATTTCCTCTCGTATCTGGATTATGTTTTTGAATAAAGACCTGATAAGCCAATATTAAGCCAATCTGGAAAAAAGGTCAGCAGCAATGACCTCTGCCCTTTCATGGGATCGGTGAGGTTTTGGAGCACCCATTGACCGTAAATCGGTTTAAACCCCACAGTAAAGAGGTTCTTTTCAAATGTTACATAAGAGTATTCAACCTCAGCCCCAATTTCACGCAAAGAAATCCGGGGGGTTTTCGCGATTTTTTGAAGAATATCTGCATTTTCAGGCTCTCTGGACCTACCGGATCGGTCTTCATCCTCGAGAGAAATGCCCCCATTTCTGAATTTGTGAAACCAACAACGTTTTATTGTACTTTCGGAAGAAGAATCATTCACATACACGCTCTTGATTTTTGCCAGAGCAACAGAGATAGAAGACCGTTTTTTAAACTCGCACAATATTACGTCTTGCAAGTGCCCGGTTGGTAGATTTGAAGTAGCATTTGAATAAATAATCAATTAAAAAAATATAAAAGAACATTTCGCTTTCTGGATTGTATTTTTGAATAAAAAATTGATAAGCCAATATTTTGAAGCAAAACAGGGCGGGCCCTCACTAAAAGTAAACAAAATTTCGAAACTTTACTGCGGGGATCAAGGCTTATTTTACAACTGAATATTTCCTTTATCAGTACTGTTGCTTTATGAATTTTGTTCTGTTCATCCCATTCAATCCAACCCATTTCTCTTTTCCACTCACGGTTCGTGTCCAATCAGCTCGTAGATTTCTCCAAAGCCTCCACTGTCAATCAAACGCCTAACAAACGTTGGCTTCTGTTTGATCTAGGCCATAAAGTTTAGAGATTTGCACAGAATTCTCTCACCTCCTCTTCGATAAATGTTGTTTGTGTGTTATCTTTAAGTAGGCTACCAACTTCACTAGTGGTTCGATTTCTAGAGAAGGAAAAAACATGAAACATCAAGGAACCCTAAAGTGAAGGAAGCTGTTTAACCCACCTCTCTTCTTTTAGAAGTTTTCTGCGTATTTTCCTCTTCCAAAAGGCATATCCAACGACAATCAGGATAAGCAAAACGATCGTCAAAAACAGCAGCCCAATGCTGAGCAAGTTGTCCGTCCACTAAACTTTTGCCAATACTGAAATTAAGAGAGAATAAAAGTAATAAGTAGAACTATAACTTTAGTTTTGGCTTTGAAGCAAGTTTTAAACCTGTCTTTGGCTTGTTTTCAAAGTTGGGGTTGACGGATTTTCAACGGGCTTCACTGGGGAAACTGAATCGCCTTTGCTTTCGACCTTTTTGATCCTAAATTTTTTGTTGACTGTAAACGAGGAATAATTACAAACTATATTATCAAGCAAAAACTACTAATCTATCAAAATTACCAAAAGTACACAAGTTATCTTTGTTTTTCTTTACCAGTTGCAAAAGTCGGAGCCGTATCCTTGTAGCAGCCACCTCTCAGCTGCATTCCTCAGCTCGTTTGGTTGGTGAAGCCGTTGAATGAGTTCCTCGATTACTCGCTAAATCACATGTATCAAATTTATTTCACCACAGAAATTACCGTATCTTCAGGTGAATTACAGTTTGAGCAACTCAATTTCAGCTTTTTATTTGCCTTTTCGAAAAGCAAATCCTGTTTGGTGGGCAAAGTACATGGGACCGAGGGGAAATTTGTCCCATTCTTGTCACCCAAACTGAAGTATTCAAAAGCCTAAAGTCATAATATCCATAACGAATCAACTAGATTACCTAGTATGTTAAGACTGACCTGTACGGTGAACTCTTGTGACTTCTTCCCATTGAACTCACAGCGGAATTTCTTCCCATTCACCTGACCCCAACGGACCTCCATTCCCCCAAGGCTGAAGCCCTCTCTAAACAAGGAAATAGTTAGGAAAAGTTATCGACAAACGTTAACGAATATTCTAGAGGAATGCAGTTTCTATTCGTCAAGGGCTCGTGCAAGGACCCGATCGGTTCTCCCAAATCCGTTTTTGCATCACTAGAATTTGTGAGGACTAGAATTTTTATAGATCGGCTGAATGTCATAGCATTATGCTATAAGCTTTTTAACCATCTTAAGTCAAAAGCTAATTGTAAGAATTTCGAAAAGCTTCAAAGATTCCAATAAACCCACTTGCACCAAGCAGCCCATTGCACATCGTTGACAAAGAGTTTCATGTTATGCCCTAAAGTAAAATGTCAAGTTGAGTCTTTTGAGAGTGCACATTTAATAAAAGACGTTGTCCGACATGGAACCAAGTTTGGATCGTATACATCCCCAAATGAAAAAGACAATTCGCTCTTTTCAATCTTTAAAAACAGATTTGGACCTGGAAATGTTCATTTTAAACCTACAGGGCGCTTTTTACCTTTAACATACAAGTAAATCTCTTGACGGGCGCACTTGTAAGCACCCGTATCTGCTGATTGAAGGTTTGAGATGTTCAAAACATACCCCTTAAGAGAATTATGGATTTCATCTTCAAAGTCTACTTTACATACCTCAGTTGTCTGCTTTGTGGTTCTTCTTTGTGGAGACTCAGTAGGAGGTATTTTCCAATCTGTGCCTTGTGGACAGAGGAGACTCAACGATTCTCCTTCTTGCTTTTGAATGTATCTAAATTTGTATTGTTGTTCGTTTAACACGTTGTCTTTAAATCTTTGCTTCTTTATATGTATATTAAGCTTTTTGTTAAACACTACACACTAACAAGGGAATCATCAGAAGTGACCGTGAGGTATGCTTTCACCAGAGGTTTTCATACCTAAATATACTCTAAATTATTAGGTTGGTCCATAAGTCTTGCTAACATTTTTGTTTAAAAATTTCTTCACAACCAAACAAGCAGTTTACTCAAAAAAGATTCCGTTATTTTGGATAACCTTCGGCGATTTTATTGGAAGTTGGCGAATTTCTCTCTCGTAGAAGATTTTTGGTTTCGAGTCAAAATAGTTTTGGAGCCACTTTTTGAAGTCGTCTTTATTTTCAAATGTTCCCCATCCAGGGAATGTTGCATTGATCGGAAAAGCTGATAATCCGATGGGGCAAGGTCTGGAGAATAAGGAGGTTGAAGTAAGACTTCTCAGCCCAGGCTGTGGATTTTGGCGCTATTGAGTTTTGCCGTATGTGGGCGGGCATTGTCGTGAAGAAGGATGATTGGAAACAATTCAGGTCGTTTTTTCTTAATTACCTTGTCGAGCTTTTGTAGTAAATAAAGCAATAATAAAGCATTAACAGTCTGCTTATTTTCAAAAAGTTCCCAGCAAATGACTCCTTTGAGATCCCACCAAACTGATAGCATAAACTTCTTTTGGTCGAGGTCAGGGAGGATATCCTTGTCAGCTGTAACTCCAGGCTCTACCCATTCACGCTTTCTTTGAAAGTTTGGGGTGAAAATTCACTTTTCGTCTGCTGTCACTAAGTGCGGCAAAAAAAGATTTCCGTTCATTTCTCAAAAGAAGCGCAACTGAAATTGATGAACTCTGCCATTTCATGGGCTCCGTAAAGGCATGAGGTACCCATTGACCAAAAATTGACTTAAAACCCAGCTCATGAAGGTGTCTTTCAATTGTTGACGGTAAGTGCCTAATAGCATCCGCTATTTCACGAATAGAAATCCGAGGCTTGTCTTGAATTTTTTTAAAAATCTCTTTATTTTTCAATTGAGAAGGTCTTCCCGCATGTTCTTTGTCTTCAGGGGAATTCTCACTATTTCTGAATTTGGCCAACCAACGTCGAATTATGTTTTGAGAAGGAGCCTCATTGCGATACACGTTTTCAATATTATTCTGAACCACCGACAGAAAAGATCATTTTTTAAACTCGTACAACAAAACGTGCCCTGGTGTAAGATCTGGGATATCTCTTGGATAAAAAACCAATAAAAAAAATAGAAGCATGGAAGTCCGCGTATGTAATGTTTTGAAAGGGGATTGATAAGCCGACGTTTTGGATGTAAACAGAATCGGGAAAGACGAGTCGAGATAAACAATCATTTCAAAAGAACAAAGTTTTACCAAGACTTATGGACCAGTCTAATAATATCGTCATGGAAAATGTTTCTGACAAAAAAACTAAAGTTTAAAAGTTCTATAGCTCTTGAAATGTATCAAATAAAAGTTTGGAAAAAAGCAAAAAAAATGACGGTGGCCGGGACCGAACCAGGGTCGTAAAAATTGGGGGGCAAGGCTGACCTCTGCCATCACTCTACCAACTGATATTTCGTCTGCCCGAAAGAAGTCCTTTTATAGAAGCGTGCCTCGTTTTTGTGTTGATGCCGATATTTCAAAGCCGTTTTTCTTGAAAACTAGCGATCCTTAGCAAAATCCCAAAGCACCGTCGCACATCCGCGCGAAATAAGGCAAAAAAAATCGTTTTCTATAGGATTTTTACGTTTGAATAGCCAATTGACGCAGAAAAATGTGCTGAATCCAAAAATAAAAGAATTTTTTAAATCCCTTCGACAAAATATAACGCGGATAAATTACCATAACCCAAAAGAGAAAAACAGCAAAATTAAACTTTTTTGAACGATTTGAATGATCTGAACGATTTGATTTAAGAGGAACACACTCTACTCGCCGTATTCGATAAGTATTTGCATCTCATTTTGGTGTCGAAATCGCACGGTCATTTCTGATCATTCCCTTGTGAGCTTTTTTTTCAATGATCCCAAAAGGCTTCCATCCGTCCGGAACCCACTTTAAGGCTTAGGCTTAGGATACTTTTGGAGTGACATGAATATAAAAGACGTGCAAAATTTAGGTTACAATCATCAAAGATACAAATAGTTTCATAAAATTCACCGAAAAGATCCATCCTCTTCTACTCTCCCGTTGTCCCCATCGGAGAGCCTCAAACTTTGAGCAACGAATTGATGAAAGAAGAGGAAAAAAGTAAAAACTCCATTCAAATCATTTGTTTAATAAAAATAGAAAGATCAGCCCCAAATGAAGTTTTGATTTCTAATCGTAAATCAATCCACACAGCACACGGCTAATCAATTAATGGAAAGGCGGCAACGGTCTTATTGCTTTTCTCTCTTTTACTTTTCCAAATCGAATCTATCCAAGAAATCGGGATCCTTTTTTGGTGTTCTCTATTTGTCAATGTCAAAACGAAAAAATGGCTCATGAAACTTCAATTTGTTCGATGTTTATTCTCGAAAATCGCCTCTTTGGGTCCATAAATCATTGTATTCTTTTTGTTTATAATTTCACAAGTAAATGAAAAAACTTTCTGTTTATATAAGAGAAAATAAAAACCAACTAACTCATCGAGTTGTTCATTTCATACAAAAATGAAAAGAAAAACTTTTCTCTTGATTCTCGCTCTGTTCATTGTTGAGATCGCTTCGAATGACTGTCAAGCAAAACTGTAAGCCATTTTTTAGTGTTCTAGATTTTAGTGTTCTATACATTTTTCTATAGGTTAGTCAAATTCTTTAATTTGTGTGTTTTTTTGTTCAATATTTACTTATTCAGAGAAAGAAAGCAGAAAATAATCGAGGGACTGAGGGAGCAGATAAAGCAGAGTATGGAGAGTAACAATGATGTAACAAGGTGCAACGATTGGACGAAGTATCAAGGGAAATCCTACAAGGTTTATTAAGCAAACATTTTCCAAAAATACAACATAAAAACAAAAGCTGATTAGGGTTAAAAGAAATAGTTTTTTTATTGGCTAGCTTTTCTGTCAAAATGCCAGGGAGAAGCTCTTTCGAAAGGAACCGAAATTCGTTTGCAAAATAACTTTACAGCCATCTGAATTAAAAAAGAAATTGTTTAGAAATTAAAAACAACTTTTATTTAAGAAATTTGTGTCCATTTTTGCATTTTCAGCTGATCCCGGTAGCCACCAGACACAACGAGGCCGAAGCGGCTTGCCGAAAGGAAGACGCGCAATTGGTCTCCATTCACAGCGACGAAGAGGCCAATTTCGTTTTGGGTCTGTACTTTAAATTGCTAAGTGATTATAAATTAAATTTAGATTTTATTTTAATTCTATATGCGTTTACATTATTTATTTCAAATCTCTTTCAGGCTTGGATCCAAACGGCGACCAGAATCTCCATCTCGGATTGTCGGTAAGGCATCAAATACCCAGGGGAATAAAATGGTGTAAGAAATATTTTTATACTTTGGTCTTTATAGTTTCTTGTGAGACAAGTGTGGTTTAATGATAGATGTCTTGAAAACGCACAAATTTATCGAAACTTTCCCTTATTAGGGCAAACTTCGCTCTCAAACTGGAGCAACCTGGCACTATCACAATGACTTCAACACTCGTGTGTGAAAAAGGGGATGAATAGAAAAGGGAGCACACAACTGACTCAAAACAAAGCTTAAATAATGGGTTTTTAAGTACACATGCTACGAAAAACGGATAACTGAATATCGTCTAGTGGCTGATTACGGTAGTTTATCCATCAACTTTGAATTTTAACTTGTGTATTGAATTTTTGACTAACTGCAGAGCAGTGATAATTCCCCACACACGGGTTATGGCAAAAGATCCAATAATTCTTAATAAATTGCCTTTTATTTCTATAGATTCCATAATGTTTAACGTTTTAAAAGCTTGTATTGAATTTTTGACTAACTGCAGAGCAGTGGCAATTCGTCACAAATGGGAAGCAAAAAATCTCTTTTTAAATAATAAATATTCAATTATTTACTTGATATTACTTTAAATGAAAGTTTATTTTCAGAAGAGCGGAGACAAATGGAGTTGGAGTGACGGGACGGAGATGAATTACACGAAATGGGACTCCTCTCAAGGGAATGGCTTCAAATGGGCTGTGGTGGGATATTTTTAGCTAAGCTGGCAAAAATAATGTTTTATTTAATAGATTTATTAAATCAACATAAATTCTAAAAGCAATCTCCAGTTGCCTCCATCAAAGCGCTGGTACAAGATCAACGACGACGGTTGGGGGCAAATCATTTGCAAGAGAGCAAACTGATGACATTTTTTTTGTAGACTTTATTGACACGAATAAAATGTGCTTTTTGCTTTTTGCCTAGATATTTTAAAACAATATACATATCTAAAAACGTTTCTTTAAACATGCCTGTGCTATATTCTTTCTACATTTGGAGCACTTCACATCGTTTGCAAGTCAGAAAGCTTAAGTCAGTTTTTAACTTCAACCCAAAACCCCAAAACTAAACAATTTTGACGTTTCTAGTTCTCTTCCTTAGCCATTCGGATTTGAAAACAAAAATTGACAGAATAAGTAGGGGGAAATAGCAAAAAATGGCAGAATAAGTAGGGGAAAGGAGCAAAAAAAAAACGCCAAAAATTTTGCAACATTTACAACCAAAAAAGTTTAGCCAAGTTTTTCTATTGTTTTGAAGCATAACTGGAAAGCTTATTGAATCTCCTAAAATGCATTGTCAGTCCCCAAAAATTTCTTTGCTCTCATTTCATTCTTTGCTCAAAATAAAAGCTTAGTTAAACAAATGTTTCTGTTCTTTTATCTAATGTTTTTTAAGTTAAGAACAATCTTGCAGAAATTGATGACGAGTCTTGCATAAGATGAGCAGACGGATCATCGGAAGAATTTAGAAAAGCATAAATGAATTGAAAAACCTAATTAATAAAAGCATGCTGTTTGAACCTGTAAATTTTCAACCAGTTGATTGAATTTGAATGAGTTTATCCTCAGCTTTTGGTCCTCTTAAAGAAGGGTTTTTTTAGAATTGTTTGCTTATCTTGCCGACCATAAACAAATTCGAAAACAGTCCAATCGAAGGAATTGTAGCCGATAGGAACCCAGCCTGGGCATGGAGGTTTGTACTCGCAAACTTTGATATCACTTAAGATCTCAAAATCCTGGGAAATTATAATACGGTCAATAAGATTAACTTTCGTTTCCCCCAGGAGAGTCGAGCGTCATTAGCGGTGGTTATTCGTAGATTTGTGGATACAAAAAAACGTGCAAAAGGTGTCGCCCTATATAATCTATAAAAGAAAATCATTCTTCCATTCAACTCCAAAAAAGAAAACAGTAACGATCAATGAAATAAAAGACAAAAGTCTAATAAAATTGATCTTTAGTTTTCATATTACATAGATCGATCACGAGTCTCACACACAAACCAAAATCCTACTACGAAAGCGGAATCCGCAAATGGCCTGTAAAATGGGCAGAAGTCGTCAATAATAATGGAAATTATTTGGAATAATTTTATGGTTTTATGTTGAATAAATTTTAGTTCAAAGTCCGGCAGTTTTCAACTCACCAACCCAATAGAATTTACCTTAGATTCATTATCGCATGAACTAAATGCAAATGCGAAGCAAATGCGAATGCAAATAAAACTAGCGATTGTAAACGTGTGCTTTTTAGAAACACAAGCACTCTCGATACTTATATCCTTTTTTTATATTTATTCTTTTTTGTTTGATAGTTTATTACAATAGCATCAGGTGTTTTTTGGGGACAACTGTCGTCCTGAAAACAAAACAATAATTAAGAACTCCGGGAAATTAAAGCTTGTAAAGTTCTTTATAGTTACCTAAAGCGTTAGAAAGCTTTTGGTTATCCAACTTACTTTTGGTTACTTTTGAATTTTGATACTGGGCCCTGTTTAGCCACCACTTTTTTGTTCTTGTACTCCCGTGGAGCATCTGGGAATTGGAATAGAGCTTTTAAAATAGTTAAAAATGATCCTAAATACTGTCGTAACCTCATGAAAATCAAAAACACCAATTAACAAATAGATAAGCTGTTTTTTTCAAAAAAAACCTGTACTTTGTCCCCAGACGAGGCAATGGGAAAGCGAAAAGAGTCCTAAGATTTTTGACAGATAGCTGGAACTTAAAGTTTTTCATAAAAATCCTTTTCAAGAAGAGAAAATCGAGTTTTTATTAGCTTCAATTGGTTTTTGACCAGATCTAAAGAGAGAGCTCAAAATGGTGTGCCAGAGGGAAAAAATTGAGGAAGTGAAATGATCAAATTTCGAATTAGACAGATCTGGAATCGGATATCTGCTGACAGATCTGCTGACAGATGGGGTGTAATTTTTGCGCTAGACACCCAAAAAAATAACGGGAAATGAAATATAGCCTTGGGGATGGCAAAAAGATGAAAAAGGAAAGAGCAAAAGAGCAAGTTCTAACGCCAGATTCTTGTGAAACAGGAAATGGGGATCCATTTTGCATAAAATATCACTTTTTCATCACGGATTGGCACTTTTCTTTTGATTTACAAGCTCTGGAACTATTTTTTAGGTTGAAAAATGATTGGTTGGCTTGTTTTTGCCGGCGTATTTTGTTTGGGATTATTCGATTCTACGCTTGGCTGTCAGCGACTGTGAGTTTTGTTTCAAATGCTAGCTGTGAGCGTATAAAGACTATAAAGACAATAGATTTTTAGGTATAAAAACTAAATTGGGGGTAGGCTAATTTCTGCAATTTTTTTTTTGTGCAACTGGGTCGTTTGTGCAACTCGCCATAACTTTCTTCTAAGTAGGTCAATCTTTATGATTTTGGTTCCATTTTGTAGATCTCAATAAGTGCAACAAAATTGTTTCGTTGAAATTGTTTCGTTTTCTAATGCGAACTGAAAAGACTACATTTAGGCAACAAAACAAACCCCGTCCACTGTTTATGAAAACAAAGATTTTGTTATCTCGAAGTTTACCAACTTTCAACTTGCCAGACTAATAGAAACTCAAAGCGCAAGAAAAATAGAAGCTCAATATAAACTAAAGAATCCTATTTAGTGGATCACCCGGTGAGTGGAACTACCTTTTGGGAATCGTCTGAAACAACTCGAGGAAATCACAAATCTCAGCGATGCTGATTCAAAGACAAAGAATCTTCTAAATTTAGGCTGCTCCTCGTGTGAACAAGATTTGAATCAGTTTGACGTCGATATAGCCGATTTCCCTGATAAGCCACCCGGTGCCGGGCTCTACTCACCGCCAACCGTCTACACTTATAGGTTAGCGCAGATTTCCTTGAAGGAATTTCGCTTGTCTTGAGGTTAATCAAATAATGTCCAAATAAAATAAGTCATAAGTCATGAAAGCATGACTATGAATGATAACAGATATTTGAATTTACCCAAATCACTTTTCAACAAAACTAGTGAATAACTTTTCATTCAGGTGAACGAGGCTTGAAATTGGTTTAGTTGTAATAAAGAACTGTAATAACTTTCAAGAACCCAAAATTCGTTACTTTTCATAGATAATCTTTGAAAACTTTTCATGTTGACTTGTTCACTGTTTAGCACAAACGCGAACGGATGTTTGGTGGCGTCGTCGGTGTGCAATCCGAACGCTGCCCCAGATCAACCGACCATTTCCGTGATCTCGTTCGATCCAGTTAGCTTCAAATATTGAGACAAGAAGAACAATATATTACAATAAAGGCTTTAAAGCAAAAGCAAAAGCTTGCAACTTTAAAGACTCCTTTGTATAGCGAGAGTTTTTATTCGATTTATGATCTAACTTAAGTTTACCTTCTTAGTTCTTAGAAGTTCTTAGAATCTTCTTAGAAGTAGATTCGCTCTCTTAGAAGCTCAGAAGATTCTCGGGTTTAGTCAAATTAGAAATTTGAACTATTAAAATCTCCTTTAGATTGCTGCTTTAAGCGATTTGAATGGAAATAGCTTTGGCGGCGAGGGAAATGGCCCCAATCCGACGAGAAAGAGCGAGTTTCGATGCCAAGCAGGGCAATGGTACAGCGTGCAAAAGGTGCTCTTTGATATGTATAATGAATGCTAAAGGTTTTAGCTTATTGTCATGTACAAGTAGATAAAATGCATTATTGTATTATTGAAGCTGTAAGTAATTTAGATTCGTTTCTATTTCCACTTTAGTGGAAAAAGTTTTTTTCCCCCATTAGATCTCATCGTCAGCTACATTTTCTGACCACACATCGATAGGTTCTGATAAGCGGTTCTCGAGATTTCGAGCAATTTAGGCGACGCTCAGGGTGCACTACTATTAGAGAGAATACGGGATTCGGCAATCACTGGATTCAACTAAAACTATTGTAATCTATAAATTAAATGCCTGAGAAAGAGCTATCACCTCACAGATGTTACCGTAATCTGCCAAAGCTGCTTGCTCTATTCTCTTTCTCTCTAATAGTAGTGCACCCCACCGAGTTGAGTTGATGACTAGTTTACGGTTTCTAAGTTTTCCCAGGAGCTCAACACTTTTTCCAACAGAAGCTTTTATAAAACTCTTTAGGACAATCCAGCGAAAAAAGGATTGGTGGCTTCCGTTCTCTGCGTCTCTGCCCGTCAGTAAATACCTTTGGCATCTATTGTAGACTTTATTTAAGTAGTATTTCTTTATTTATTCATTTATTTATTAGTTGAATAAAGAACTTATACTACAGGTTAAAAGAAAAACCTTGTTACAGTTTGATTAAAGAGATTAAATAGAAAGTATTTTGATGATTCAAAAATTGAGCATTATTATTATGTCAAAAAGGTATCCATATAGATTTTTGCACGTTTTTATATGAAAAACGAACTGCTTTATGTGTTCCTGCTAATTTGTGACATCACAAATTGAGTTACAAAAAGAATCGATGGTTTACGAGGGAAACAGAGTCATATCAGTTTTTCGCTTTGGCTCTTTCAGTCCAACTGTATTCCTTGTTGTTTATTTCTCAAACATGTCTCAAACAATTTGTGTCTTTACTAATTGCTAAATAGTTCTAATGTCTTCCAAACAACTAGACTTTGCTAATTTACCTTAGAAGTTTGTTTCTTGGCTCGTGAATTGACTGCACAATCACGAAACCAATCAACTGTTGAAGGTGAACAAAATGGGATGCTATTTGGCGCTTCTATGGGAGAATTTCCCCAAAAGATATTGATGAAATCAAGCTGTGATGATGATGATTCATGATTGATGACGGAAAAGTATAGATTCTTCAAATTTTGATGGGATGATGACGACAATGAATCCTTGATGCTCAGCTTTTTGTAGCTATCTGATGAATTGATCGATCTGATGAATTGATCGGTCAACAGAATGGGATGCTATTTGGCGCTTCGACTGATGAATCGATCGAGAATCGCTTCTTCACCGTGAGTGATGGGAGAAGTTCAATAATCCGGAAGCAAATTCAACGGGGATGTTTCGATAAAGAAGTTGATCGTTACCCTGACAAATGATGGTGAAGATGATGGGGTCAAAAGCACGTTGTTGCTATTCTCCTCGTTCACCACCTGTCCCATGTTTCACTTTTCTGGGATGGGAGACTCCATACAGCCCGCTTGTTCTTTGAAATGTTTCACCTGGTTCGTGTCGAGTTTTCTAGTCTTTTCATCCATTCAAAAAACGATTCACCAGATTTAGAGAAACATTTTACAGAAATTGCTGGACATTGCTGGACAAAAAAAACTTTAAAACACAAAAATTCTAATAGCCATTGTGTTCTTTTAAAGTCTATTTTGAAAGATACAATTATTTATTTGATAGAAAAGAGGTTGAAATAGTTGCAAGGACATGATTTCGAAACTCAAGACTAAACTTTTATATAGAATTTCTTATCTTCTGTTCTCTTTTCTCTGTCAAGCAAACGATTTTTGTGCTTTCTCTTCTCACTTGTTCGTCTATCCGTTGCTTTCGAAGAAGGAAAATGGTAAGGAAACTGAAATTGTTAGAGCTAGTTAGAGAATCGAGCTTCTTTAATAAGCAAATCATCGGTTACCTCGTGACAAAGGTTAGAAAAGAAAGTCTGATCAGCTCAAGAATGTCCCAAACAAGAAATTGTACATTCAATCCGTAGAAAATCGTGGCTGTACCCTTGACAAAATTTTGGGCCACAAAGTACAATGCGGTCACGCCGGAATTTGAGATCATCTGAAAGGATTATGTTTCTATAGGATTATGTCTTTGACTCTTGTTCCTCACTTGTATCATCAGCAGACTCTCGGCCCGACTTGCTTTGCCGTTTTGTCGCAACTAAAGCAACTAAAGCAATTAAAATAGTATTAGCCAGGATAATCAATGATCTATGAACATTTGGGAATACCCGAAATTTCTAGAGTATAAACGAATGATCATGTTAATGTCAAAGATTATGATACCTGTTGTTTCTAAAACGCTATTGATTCTAGTTATGATCCTAGCTATATATCCTCTTGTAGACCTTTACAATCTATATCAAATTCTTATGTACATTTACAGAAAGCACATAGCATTTCCAAAATGTTTCCTTCTAATTCTAAAAGGCTCTAATTCATAGAGAAGATCAAAAGACCTGTTTTAATTGTCGACTCATCACAACATCCATGCCACACATGAGGAATAGTGGAACGATTATCATATAGCCTTTCAATATTGTCCAAAGACTCAGAAGCTCCAATGGGACATAGATATCCAGACAAGCGATGCCGCATCTCATCAAATAGGGCACCGCCAATTGGATCAATGGCGATCTGCGGATAATGTGAAAATAGAGACCATCGAAAGAGACGGCCAGGAAGCGGCTGTAAAAAGATTCTTGTTCTATTATAGTTTTGGAGTTGTCACTTCAACGATATCATCAATTGACAATACATGGCAATATCTGTGAGGGAAAAAGTGTTCTCAAGGTAGAGTGCCATGAAATCGAGAGAATTCCGTAACCATTTTGGCCATCTGGAAAGGAATGCTAATCAAATATGTTTGTTAGATCTTAGTCAATTATGTTTGTTAGATTCTTTATTGCTAGACAGTTTATCAAAGCTTAAATCTTACTGTTTCTTATCAATCGACACATGCTCGCAAAGCCATTCACCGGTGAAAGTAAACGCAAAAATGAATTTATTCACGTTCTCCATGGCAGCCAACAGCCTTAAAGCAGAAGAAAGTGATTTTCCAAGTCAAAAGTATTTTTTTGTCTTAGAATTTCACGGATCAGTACACTGTTGCTCAATGGCAGCGTCGCCCGACAAATGGGTCAACTCCAGAGCAGCTCCAGAGCAGCTCCACCAAAAATAACACGCGGTTTAGCTATTAATTTACAAAATGAATTTCTCATTTCTACCGAATGGGCACCGTCAAACGATCGTTCCTAGCCGAAACATAAGCGGCCATCGGAGTAGTGATGAGACTTAATGCGACAGCCTATGGATAGAGGAGCTGCTGGCGAAATGATTGAAACTTACCCAGTCAAGCATCGACATGCACGTATCGTGGAGCTTTTGGCTCAATCTGTCACTGATATCTGGTCTCTCCGGAGGATCCGAATCCGAATAATCCGAATCGTACGCGTAACTGCTGCTTCCCAAACCATTGTAGGTTAAAGCAGAGAACCAACCACCCAAATAGTACAATCCTGAAAATAATCGACGAGTACAATCAAATTTCTCAAAAAAATCAAATTTTCCTACAGCTTTACTCATTTTTCACTTCTGGATTTGGCTTGTTATTGTTGTCTTCAAGTATGATATAAGTTAATCTGGATAATTTCACTGTTTCGTTGAGCTATTTCGTTCATAAGCCTTAAAAACTTAGTAAATTTTGTCCAAAATAGCAAATGAACTGAGTTTAAACATGATTTTATCACCATAGAATATTTAAATTCAAAAACCGTTGCAGGAAACAGTTTTGAAAACTTGAGCTTGAAAGCTGAATTGACAAAATATATTGCCACTAAAGTTACAGCTTATTTTTCCGTAGCTATCTACTTTCTTCTACTTTCTACTTTCTTAAACAATCTGAATGTTAATGCAAATTCAAACCAGTTAAGCAAAACGTAATGATCAGCGCTGTGATCAGCTCGTGGAATTGTCTCACAAAAGATATGATAGACATCATAGAAACACAGTGAATTGAAGACGTTGAAAGAGACGTTATTGTGTGTTTTTGAAAGCTGCCAACTTATTTTTGTTTTTTAGCCGACAAAACACTCAGAAAAAGAGCGCAAAATTATTTTGTTCAAAAAGACCCGGCGTATGAAAACAATAATTTAATTTTGTTACCGCCCGAACTGAGAAAAGACAAAGCTTTTTTTTTCAATCTTGTAATGTTTGGCACTAAGATATAAAACACATTAAGATCGAAATAGACCAAAATGTGTTTATTTTTCTTTGAATTCTTTTTCTGTTTCATTTGTGTTTCCGTACTAAAAATAAGTCTAAGTGTCTAAATTAAAAAACCAATTCTTTCAGCAACAACCGATGAATAACAAGTGAAAATAGATCTTGAAATGAATGAAAATGAAATGCTTCTTTAGCGGCCTTACGATTCATCATTTCAATACAAGCCAAACGAGTCTCCAACATGTCGACAACTGACATTCAACTGACAAGAGAAAAGCAATAGTAGGATGAGATGAGCCAAGAACCATTCAACGCAGAATTTCACTCTGTTTCCGAATCTGCTTTCCGTTTTTGCAAAATGGCTTTCTATAAAAAGTTATATGCGTTTTAAGGTGAGAAAATGCGAAAATGAAGCCGAATTTGAAGCCGAATGCCTTTTTAAGGGGTTTCTCACGGGTCTCAAACGTAATAGCATGGTATAGTCGATAAAACACTTACCTACAAAACGAGTGCTGCATTTTTTGCTCGAGTTCCATTCCTTTACTTTTATTTTGCGTTTTCTATAAAAAGTTATACATTTTTTAGGTTTTAGGGTGAAAATGCGAAAATTTTGAGTGGAATAGGGATGCCTTTATAAACGTTCTCTCACGGATCTCAACTTGATCGTATAGTGGATAGAATAGGATAGGATACAAAACGAGCGCTGCATTTTTTATCTAGCGACTGTAGTTGGTGTAGCGGTTTTGAAATCCTCCGTAACCACTGTAGTGGGCTTTAGCTATTATAGCTGTTCTCTCTTGCAACGCCATTTAGAATCCGATGCGGAAATGGTCCCTTTCTGTGAACACATATTTGAAAGCCATACAAGCCCCCACATTGCCGAGACATAGGCATTGATTGGTGAAATGGCGACGAGAACAAGGAGAACAAACAGGATTTGGAGTGGCATCTGTAGAATTTCTTGTAGAATTAACTTTTCTTTGAAAAATGGTGGATTGGGGAGATTGAAATGATGCCGAAAATCAAATTCTTCTAAAAATTCTAGCAGATTTCGTGAAAAGATACGTGTTTGATATTAATAGAAAGAGAAGGCGCCATTTCATTCTCCCCAATCCAATAAGTATTGTAATATTTTCGACGAAGCCTGTTCGCGATAAAAGAACTTTTAAAGCTATTTTCAATGGTAAACGAGCCGTGGAACGAGTAGAATGTGTTCAAGTTTCTTACTTTCATTGAATAGGCATTTATCTTTTTAAATAATAAGTGTTTTATCTGATCGAGAGAAGCAGGGTCGGAAGTGATTCGAATATATTGGGAGTTTGAAGCTGATCGGATTGACGATGAGCCATCGAATCCAGCAAATAACAAACCAGCACCTTGAATAGATGCTTTTAAACTGTTATTTACGTGTTTAAACTCTTTACGTGTTTCTCCCTTTTCCTAGCGGGATATCAATTCTTTTCAATCAAACATCCCTTTACGCAAACATCCCTAGAGTTTCTAGTTAGCGTCCCAGATTTCTCTTTTTCTCGAGCATGGATCGAATTGCATTAAGCGTTAAGCTAAAGCGCATTAAGCCATGAGTCAGCCCAACTAGACGCTTTTCTGTACCTAGAAATTTTCTTGCTCAATCTCTTATCTTTCTTCCAGTTTTCCAACCTTTCTATTAAGAAATGATAGTAAAAAAGATTTAGTTTAGTTTTTAAAAGCCCATAATTTTCATAAGTGAAAACACAAGTGAAAAACACGAAGCACTAACAATCTTTTTATGGCTCAAATCACCGAACAGGTGTTCTTCAAGGAAACAAAATTGAACCCATGATACAGAATAAAAAAACTAATTTGTTTTTCGAGTCTGTTCTTTGTTCGAATCTGTTTTCGAAACGAATCGAATTGGATTGAAAAATTATAACGTTTTTGAATGTAGATCTTTATTTTTTCGTTTTTATTTCATCAGGTGCTTTAATTATATGTCTAACAGAAAATCTGTTGTTTTTTTTCAGAATTTAGTCAGAGATATGAAAACTTTTGGACTAGAGTTATAATTTTTTCTTATTTCTCTAAATTTGGTTCCTTATCTCTACAGATTTGGTTCCTTATCTGTACGAATGTGGTTCCTTATCTCTCTAAATTTGTTTCCTTATCTCTCTAAATTTGGTTCCTCATCTCTCTAAATTTGGTTCCTTATCTCTCTAAATTTGGTTCCTTATCTCTCTAAATTTGGTTCCTTATCTCTCTAAATTTGGTTCCTTATCTCTACAGATTTAGTTCCTTATCTGTACGAATGTGGTTCCTTATCTCTCTAAATTTGGTTCCTTATCTCTCTAAATTTGGTTCCTTATCTCTCTAAATTTGGTTCCTTATCTCTACAAAAAAAACAAACAGCCTTTATATATTGTAATCATAAAAAAAGTTGGTTCTTGAGTAGAATCTTGGTTTTTTGAAAGAACTTTTGTGTTAAAATCTTTTATTTAAAGGACTTTTGTTTAAAAAAACATCATTTGATATCCAAGTATCAAACTTTATTTGATATTTTTACGCTAAATTTTCAGTATTGGCAAAGGTGAATCCTATTGATTTAATTTCGATGAAACCGAGACTAATTGTGAAACGTTGGACACTTGCTGGTGAATCATTACCCGTTCCCAAGGGCTACGATCCTACTGACTATGATTATTTCTATTCCAAGATGCAATATCGGCAATATTACTACCCAATATTCGACGATGATCCTTTTTCTATTACATTCAACACAATTCTGGTTAATCTCTTTTGAAAAATAAAGCAAATAAAGAATCAGAACATTTGAAATCCAAAGTCACTTTTTAGTTCGGTCAAACAAGTTTCTGTGTGAACTTGTTGGGATTTTATTTTATATACGGAAACAATCGACTCGGAAATGCCATTAAGGCTCATTTGCTCAGTGATACGATTTTGCGATCTCTGATCGGACTCACGCAAATCTATTTCGGGAGCTGTCTTTTGAAGTTTGTTGTCAAAGAATATTTCGGTCTTGATTTTCGTCTTTACGTCTTGATTTTGACTATTCCTTTGATATACAAAAAGTGCATTCAAAGTGCATTCAAAGTTAGTATTGGCTTGTCCAGTTATGAAGTCGCGTTTTTTACTATTTTGTAAATTTCTCAAGATACCGAAATCAAGAAAAAGATATATATGAGTATTATTCGAAAGCTGAAGGTCTCCTCTACATTTTGATATAAAAAATTTTTGAATTTGTTCAGCTTTTGGGCAAATTGACTGCACAGAAGAAGAGGTGGCCAAAAAATGGAAGGGTGCCTTTGGATCAAGTTTTGGCTCCGCTCAAATTGAGTTGACCGTTTGATGTTTGGCCAATAGATACATACAACTTTTTTTTAAAATATAACAATTTCAGAGCCTCTTTACTTTTCTTTTCTTTTCTAGGCGGTTATTTTACACCATAAAACTTGAGGATTAGCTAAGCTGGAATGGGTTTTTTCGAAAACGACCTCTCCCTTTGTGCAGTCAATTTATTTTGGGAAGTTGTACACCTTGATTTTGACTATTCCTTTGATATACAAAAGTGCGTTCAAAGTGTATTCAAAGTGCATTCAAAGTTAGTAGTAAAAAGTTCCGAAAGTAATTGAGAAGTTTGTTATTTTCGTCATTTTCGACATGTTCGTCTAATATCTTACTTACCCAATATTTACCTAATTTGAATCAAAACTAAGCTGAATTTTATCAGTGAGCACTGTCTCGGGATGTCTGACTGGCCATGGAGTGGAGCGTTGATCAATCAAATAGTCAGTGCTCTGTACTTTTCGGCACAGATCTCTGTTCAACTGCACGAACTTTTGATCACTCTGAGCAGGTAACACTTATTAAAGTATTGATGATCTTCCGATATCAATGCATCTTCCGCTTTTTAACAATAAGTAGACTATTCGCGATCTCCTTTGACGGTGTCTACTATCACCACTTCTCAAAGGGCATCTGGGTTCAAGTGATCGCTATTCTGCTGATTCCTTTGATTCCCTACACACCAACTATTGGATCACGTATGCATAGAAATACTCTTAGAAGTGTTGGTTGTTTTAGTCACAAATGTGTACGCTGATCTCTGGACTCCGGCCGGAAACATGTATGATCCAAACAGGCACTCTTCAGAACGATACACAAATGGCTCATTCTTTGGTAAACATATTTTGTGGGCAATTTGTGGGCATTAAGCACAAATTTAGACTCGTTGATCTACAGCATTGAGAACATTGTGCTAGTTGCATTTTTGCTGGCATTGTTCACTGATATTGTCACGTTGTACAAAGTTCGCGAGAGAATGGTTGATTTCAGTTTTTGTTACGAATTCAATTTTTGTTCAGGAAAAAAGTGAATCCAATGCGGAACAAGCACGAGCTGATATTCGTTTATCTTTGCAGGTAAAAGAGTACTTCTTGCTTGTCTCAAAGAGACGAAAACAAATAAACAAATAAACCAACTAGATCACGAAATTTTTGCCTTGTTCCTCTTAGCTATCTCTCAACTAGTCTCAAACAATCATGATTCATTTGGTTGGAGAGGAAACCAAGAGCATGTTGAACTGTAGTTGAACTTCCAGAAGTTGAAGTGTAGTTGAACTTCCAGAAGTTGAACTGCTCCATCACTAAGCTACAGTGCACTGATACCAAATGTTGCCAGAACAGTGAGATGAACAGAACAGTGGCTGAACACAATTAACAATAGTCGCAATTAACTGGATCCATCACATCTCCTTAAACTAATATTTTTAGATGTTAATCATTCACTCGATGAACGCCTTTCATTGGGTTTTTATGAGAATGCCTCAAATGCACACGTTGTTCACCGATGCGGTGAACACCGATGAATATATAACACGATTTGCTGTTACCTTGGTCAACGTCTCTGGGATCCTGAATATCCTTTTGGGGTCAGGTTTTGTTTCAATAACTCCCAATTTCGAATGCTTTAGATTTCTGATGATCTACCTAAATCGACCGATCAAAGAAAAAGAAAATCCGAATATAAAAACTTAGAGATTTTAGAGAACTTTAGAGAACTTTAGAGAGAATTTAAAGATTAGAGTTTATTATGTCTTTTTTTGATCTCTTTGAGTTGCAATGTTAATTGAGAATAAACTTTTTATGCTCTTAAATTGATGCCCGAATCTAAATCTTTCTCTTATTACCCCAAAATATTAGCACAAAGCCATTGGTTTTTTTGCAGTAAACTTTAGTTGATTTCATGAAGTTGTTTAACATGGAATGAAACCAAGCAGTTCGGAGACTTTTAATAATACAGTAAAAGCACAGAGGTATTAGTTTCCCTATTGCTCTTCTATAAGCCTCAAACAGGTGTTCTACAAGGAAGTTGACACATTTTTGAACTAAATCGGAATGAGGGTACCTGCACAAAATGTTGTCAGAGCCGAAAATCTTTCACTCGTTGAATTGCTGGCTTTGCAAAGCTCCATGGAAGTTTGGAACTTTTCTCCTTAATTCTTTTTTCCCATAAAAGATCACCGTTGTATAGATATTTAGTTGTTTATTTGGTCGTTTATTTAATTTCGAATCAGGTGTCACGATATGGTTATCATTTGACACATCCAAACTATTAGGTTGGCAAGAAAGTTCGTAGAAAAGGCTTTATACAAGTTTTTTATGGGTTAATGAATAGGCAATGGGTCCCATTCAAAACCTTTAATCAAGTACCCGAATCTAAATCTTTGTATTACCCCAAAATATCAGCACAAAGCCATTAGTTTTTTTGCAGTAAACTTTAGTTCATTTCATGAAGTTGTTTAACATGGAATGAAACCAAGTATTTCGATTTGAGACTTTTAATAATACAGTAAAAGCACAGAAGTATTAGTTTCTCTATTGCTCTTCTATCAGCCTCAAGCAGGTGTTCTACAAGGAAGTTGACACATTTTTGAATTAAATCGGAATGAGGGTACCCGGAAATTTTCATTAATTTGCTGGGCTCCTTTGAACCCAACTATTATTGCTTATGACTTTTTTATCGGCGTTCTGGGGCTTGTAATTTGGCTGAAGAGGGTTGTAATTCATCTTGGAAATCACAAAGAACATAGACATACAGTGGAGACTTTTTGTGTTGTTTGGCGTCAAAGCACCGCGTTTATTTGTCAAATTATGGTTGAAGTAAACTATTGATAGTTTTTATTTATTTCTACGTTAATACTGCTTACCATGAATGTTTTATATATTTGTTCTTTGTTTAAAAATCGGTCAAAGCAAGTACTTTTAGCAAAATGGTGACAGAAACACTCCTCAATGTGGATTGCTCAATTAAAACTTATACTACTCTGAAGACTCCGGAAGGGTTTAATAGATCCGATTACATTTTCTGGTATTCGTGGGAACAGGAAAAGCTATGTAATAAAATAGCTTACGAGGACGAATTCTCTCTGATAATGGTTAAACTTTTGGTTGGTTTTGTTTTGAAATTTATTCTATTATCCCTGAAATCAACCTAAAATTTGATTAGAAGGTATTAGGTTGACAAGAAATTTCGTAGAAAAGGTTTGCACGACGATTTCTCAAAAACCAAGCCATCTTCCCAGATTTTTAGATAAACTTGACTATATTTCCAACAATTCTTGATGAAAAAGATCAGAGTAAGCTTCAGGTAAAAAAAATAAGAGATTTTTTCAGCTAAAGTGACTTGGCCACTTTTTGAGTGACCAGCCTTTAGACAAGTTTTTAATGGGTTAATGGATAAGCAATGGGTCTCATTCAAAACCTAAAATCAAGTACTTAAAATAGGGAAAATTTGTGATTAAGGCAAATTTTATCTAATCGCATCCAAAAGATGACGATCCGCTGCTCTTCTAATAAACGGCGTCATTGCGGGATGGACGTCAGCTTCAGGCAGTCCCTCAATCACCAGGTGGTAATCGTTTCCGAGTTTCTTCGCGAGCTCAACATCCTCGAAGAGTGGGGGCAGCTTCATTGTTCCAATTGGCGGAAGTGGGTGGTATGGATGGCGTACAGGCTTCCTCATCAGCATACTTCTCGGCAGCGCTTCAGATCGGTAGATGTAGAAGTAGAGTTGCAGTGCCTCGCAACAACCTCAAACTTGGGTAATTAATGGATAGGCAATGGGTCCCATTCAAAACCTAAAATGAAGTACTTAAAATAGGGAAAATTTGTGATTAAGGTAAATTTAATCTAATCCTTTAACTTTTCAGAATCACCAATTTTAGCAAACACTCAGTGCCGAGAAGATGACACGAAAAAATTATTTTTTGAAATATAGCTTCTCTGTGAAAAATGGCCAAAAATAGAGATTATAGAGCGTATTGCCCATTTATGCTAGCTTTACTTCATAAAGAATCGTTTTTCTGGTGCAAAAAGTGAGCTGGATTTAAGCTGGAAAATCATAATTTTTCAAAAATCTCAAAAGTTTTAACGAAAACCTGCACTCATTTTTTTACAAGTACTTTCTTGGAGTCGGCTTGTAAATAATAGAACAAAATGTTCTTGAATTGGTGGATTCGTTTTTAAGAAACTCCAGTCAAACTTTTTCCGAAAACTTTCTTTCCAATTTTTTTAGTTTACTAGGATAACTCTTGCTAGAAACCATAGTTTTTGATTATTTTTATTTCTCTGAGTTGCTTTTTAGATTATCAAAAGTAGAGCTTTGGTTTGATTTGAGTAAATTTATCAGATCAGGCCAAATCTAGCCATATTTTAGTTCGGCGAGACGAGTTTTTGTCTGAACTTGTGGTTGTTCTATTTGATACAAGAAAATAAGCGACTCGGAGCCCCAATCAAGGCTCACCTCCTCAATGATATTGTTCTTCGATGCATTCTCGCATTCGGCCAAGTATATTTCGGAAGCTGTTTGATAAAGTTTGTTCTAATTCAAATCCCAAAATTGTTCACCTACAAGGCGCCCAATATGTATAAGACACCCTCAAATTTTCAAAGTCCCCAGAAACTTGTAAAACATAATTATTGTATTCTTCCTAATAGTATTGCAGGCTCGGAGGGGATTGAAAAAATAGGGAGTGAGACAAATGCGACCCTTTTTTTGCGCACCCGGACATTTGCGCACCTTGCCCATTAGCGCACCTTTTTTCGCGTTTTAAAAAAGCTCTAAAAAGCTAATATTAACCAATTTCTATTCCAAATGTTGTTTTTCTAGGTAATTTGAGGGTGTCGAATTCAAATTTTGACATAACAGAGCGTGTGGAACCAATTTGAAAGACAAAACGGCTAGATCAAATTACAGAAGATTGTCGATCTTTCTCTTTGTATAACTCCGTCCGTTTGTTTCCACAAGCTCTGATATGTCAAAATTTCGATTCTACGCCCTAAAATTACCTAGAAAAACAACTTTTGGAATAGAAATTGGTTTATATTAGCTTTTTAGAGCTTTTTTAAAACGCGAAAAAAGGTGTGCTAATGGGCAAGGTGCGGAAAAAAGGTGCGCAAATGTCCGGGTGCGCAAAAAAAGGTCGCATTTGTCCCACTCCCAAAAAATAGTATTGCCAAAATTTAAATGTACTTAAAATCGGCATTTAGGTTTTTGTTGTTCGTAGTTTGGAATCATTTTAAGTTCGAAAAACACTCTTTTACTATTTTTTGTTGTTTTCTAATAATTTTTATGCGTTTCTTTTGCACAAATCATTTTTTTCTTTAGATCTCATCGAACGACTCGAATTCGGAACAATCAGCAACGAACAAGAAACGATGTTTTAATGTCGGTGCAGAGCTCGCCGTGATTGCATGGATTAAAAAAATGAAGGACAAGTCGGCTGTAGCGAGGAAATTCGGAATTAGTCGACAAAATCTTCAGCAACGGTGTCAGCAAAAGGATGAAGTCGAAAAGCAATGCAACGAAAAAGGAAAAGGAACAAAACGGATCAAAGGCGGTGGACGAAAACTCAAAGATGCCAATTTCGACAAGGAGGTGAATATTTTTATTTTCTCTGCACTTTCGGGCATAAATTTTTTTAAAGCGATTTAATTAATTCCGTACAACTGTTGCTGCTAGATTTTAAAAGTTTGCTTTGCTCGTAAATTGTTTTAACCTTTATGGAGATAAGTTCTCTTGCTATCAAAGCTCTAACTGAGAAAACAATTCATCAACTTTAATTTTAGTGTTCTATATTCTTTTGACTTTTCTTTACAATTGCCCAAATCACTTTTTTTCAGAGATAGATCTCGATGGAAAATCGTTTGATGGGTTTGAAGAATTTCGAGCTCGTCGAGAGAACGATGAATGGGAGGAACAATGAATGGGATTCTTTAAGGAGTGAGGTGATCGAAAAAGTCAACAGGACGCCAACAAAATTCGATTCACGTTGATGCCAAGAAATCTTCGAGATCTCCGAAATCTCCGAAAATCCGGCTCGATGAACCACTTGTAAAGAAAAAGAAATGCGGTTTTGATGTTGGAACAAAGCTTGCAGCGATCGCGTCGACCGAAAAGTTGAACGACAAATCGACTACAGCGAGAAAATTTGGAGTGAACCGCCAAAATCATGATAAATGGTGCCTGCAAAAGGTTGAGCTCGAGAAAGAGAACGGAAAACAAACGAAGCAAATCAAAGGCGGCGGACGCAAATTCAAGGTTGCTGATTTCGAAAGGAAGCTGGCAGATTGCATTCAAGAAACAAACGAGGAAGACGCGTGTGACTCGAAAGATGATTCAAAAGCATGCGAAGTTAACGTGGCAATAAGATGAGCAGTTTGCGTCATCAGAGGGATGGTTGAATCGATTCATGGCAAGACACGCTTTTCGACCTGTCTTCCCACAAATGTATGCCAGAAGGAGCCACAGGAGTACGTCTAGGCATGGATCGAGTACATTCTTTACTTGGAGAGTAGATTCTGTCGTTGATTTCTTGACTAGTTAATTTTTTTTATCATGAAAATGCTATATCTTTTTTATTTGAAATTTATTTTGGTGGAATGTTATAAAACTCTCTAATAGTATTGCAGGCTCGGAAAGGTTTGAAAAAAAATATTATGGCGCAATATTATTATGGAGAATACGATATTTTATAATCTGATTCGGAATTTGGCAATCATTAGTCTTTCTGGTTTTTCTAAAACCGTTAAATTTTTTATACATATTGAGCGCACTGTAATCGCAATTTTTTTAGCCTTTAGTAGTTACAGTAGCGGACATAATTTTGGAAACTTTTATTTTTTCTAAAAAAATTTTCTTAGTAAAATCTGATTCGGTATGTTTACTAGCGAAAATATGTAGGCATAAAAGGCACGTAATAATCCATAGACAGAACTTCTGAACTTTTTGAAAAATATTATTTTTAATGCATTTATCTGTAAACCCAGAGGACATAAATTTGGAAACTTTTAAAAACAACTCTAAATAATGACGTAACAAACCATTAAACTTTTAAATTACAACAAAAATAAATAAATCAATTCAATACTTTGTGGAAAATCCTTTAAGATCAATGACAGCCTGGCACCGAGCACTCATCGAGGCGATCAAGTTGTCGATGGTTGTTGTTGGAATTTCCATCCATTTCTTAGCCAAAAGCTCGAATTTTTCATTAAGATTATAGCACTTAACACCTTTACAGCCTCTCTCCAGAACTTCCCATAGATGTTCAATAGGGTTTAAATCAGGACTCTGGCTCGGCCATTCCATAAGATTAATTCCTTCCTTCTGAAACCAGTTCTTTACAAGCCGCGAAGTATGTTTCGGATCATTGTCCTGTTGAAAAACAAGGTTGGAAGGCATCAACTGAAGGGCATTTGGAAGCATATGTTTCGATAAAATATTCAAGTAAACATGTTTGTCCATAATACCATCAATGCGTTTTAATGGGATCATTCCGTAAGCTGAAAAGCCTCCCCATACAAGAACACTACCACCGCCGTGCTTCAAAGTCGGAATTACGTATCCGTTACTGAACCTTTTGTTGATAGGACGACGAACATATCGAATGCCATCAGATCCAAACAATTCGAGCCTACGTTCGTCGGAAAAGAGGCAAAGAGACCATTGTTGAGCCGGCCAATATCGATGCTCTTCTGCGAATTTGACGCGAAGCTTGCGATTCTTTGCAGAGATCAGTGGCTTATGAGCAGGACGTCGACCAAACAATCCAAATCCGCGTAAACGACGTTGTACTGTCTTTGAACTAATTTCCTTTTTGACTTTGTGAGGCAAATCGGCATAAATCTCGATCGATGACTTCTTTGGGTCAGCCTTTGAAAGAGTTTTCATTCGCAAATCATCTCGTTTTGTCGTCTTTCTGTGTCTTCCTGTATGCTTATGAGCATTTGCTGATCCAGTTCGAGCGTATCTTTTCAAAATTTTTGATACGGTACTCTTTGAAAGGCCAAGAGATCGAGCGATAAATGTCTGCTTCTGTCCATTTTGGCGCATTCGTACAACATCTTCGCGTTTCTCCGTTGGAGTCTCTTTCTTGTTGCCCATCTATAAAAAAAAGTTAAAATAAATAGTAGAGGCTTAAAAAGATAAAAACAGAACAAAAAAGTAATATACCGTAATAATTAAAAAAAAGGGCGGCTCCAAATTTAAGGCCAGTCCCATTAATAAGCACCCCCCCCCCCCCTTTTTTTTTTTTTTTTTTTTTTTTTTTTTTTTTTTTTTTTTTTTTTTTTTTTTGGTTGTTTTTTTTTTTGCCCGGGTGAAATTTGGGAGTTAAATTTGGTTTGAAAAAAAAAAAAAAAAATTTTATGGGCCCCACATGGATTTTTTTTTTTCGGGAAGAAAATAATTTCACTTTAGTTTTTGGCTGTTTTGGGCCAAGGGCATCGTTTGAATTTTTTAACTATTTTTTAATTTTTTGTTTATGGGGGACCCTACCTACTTTTTTGACCAATTTTGGGGGGGAAAAGATGGTCATTGAGATTTTTATGAAAGTTTCCAAATTTATGTCCTCTGGGTTTACAGATAAATGCATTAAAAATAATATTTTTCAAAAAGTTCAGAAGTTTTGTCTATGGATTATTACGTGCCTTTTATGCCTACATATTTTCGCTAGTAAACATACCGAATCAGATTTTACTAAGAAAATTTTTTTAGAAAAAACAAAAGTTTCCAAAATTATGTCCGCTACTGTATATCTACTCTAATAATTTTTGCGTTAGGTTCAACGTTTAAGTTTTTAGAGATCACTGTCTCGGTGTTGTCGGGTACCCGATGAGCGGGGCGATGATCAATCAATTGGTCAGTGCTCTTTACCTATCCACTCGGATTTCTACGCAATGGCACGAGCATATGATCACCGCGAACAGGTGTGTTCTACTTAAAACCTTAACTTAAAACCTTAAAACCTTAAAACCTACTGAACCAGTTTTCCTTAAAAGTATACCATGCTTAACTAATGAAAATACATACATGTCCAATGTATGTATTCTTATGTTCATTCTAGGTCTTTGTTAAACCTATCAAACATGAGCGTGTCTATTTTTAGATTGCTTTCTGTTTCCTTCAATGGCACTTACTCTCATTTCTTGTCGAAATGGATTTGGTTACAATTGGTTGTGATCATTTTTGTTCCTTTAATGCCATATGCACCAACTATTGGATCAGGTTTGCTCCGCTAGCCTAAACAGTGAAAATAAATGTTTCAGTCACTCTCGTTTTTGCTAATATATGGATCCCAGCTGGGTTTATATACAACGTGAATTCTCATTTATTTCAACGGAAGAGCAGTGGTTTTATTTTGGGTAAGCAGGAGCACATAGATCAGCCAGGGATGCGGGGAGCAAGTTCAATATTGGCTTACCAATTAATTTTAGATCCGCTCATCAATTACCTCAGTGATATCACTCCTCTTCTTTGTCTTATGATGCTAGTCCTTGACATCATAACTCTGCACAACTCGCATGGAAGAACGGTTAGCGGGTTTGGGTTTAAATAAAACTATTGTACATTCAGAAAACTTCCTCGTTAGACATACAGCAACAACGAATGGATACCCGGGTATCCATACAGGTAGAACTTTTTACTAAAATGCTACGGATAGTTTTGACAATTAGCCAACGACTTTTTTTTGACTTAAAAACAGTTTGATAATATTGAAGACGGCTAAAAGCTACTATCCTGAAAGTTTGAGCAAAATTGGTCCAATGGTTCAATGGTCCAATGTCCAATGGTCCAATGTCCAATGCTCAATGGTCCAAAATAGGTCCAATGCCTAAGCTCAATGGCCTTTGCCAGGTTTTTTTTTCCAGACGCCGTCTAGAGCCAGTTTTTTCTCTAAAAATCTGAAATTAGTACCAAAATGCCGGAAAATGTATATTAAAGATGCGCGCATAAGGGTATTTTGCAATTTGCTTTTAAATTTTTGATGAATTTTTTTATGAAGCTCACTCGTCATTTTAAAACAATTTTCTTTCAAAATAATTCTATAAACTTTTTGGAAAACGTTTTCACTTGCGCATTTATTTTTATTGTAATCTTTACGTTATTTTCCACCTATGATTCAAATTTCAGCTCATTAGGTCAAAAATTGAGCGAGCTACGATTTTTTAAAGATAAAATTTAACAATTCTTGGGAGTTGACGATAGGATTTTCGGGCTGAAAAAAGAGGCTTAAGACGAGTGTTATTTCAAAACTTTTCTTAGATGAACTATTTACGATCTTTTCTTGAATTAAAGTACTCCTCAAATCCTACAGTTTCCTTGGTTTTAACCGTTTTTTGATATTATCTTCATTGGGATCAGCTGTGCTGTAGCTCTGCTAGAGCAGCTGCCCAATAAGCGAAAAGTCGAGAGTACAATTTTCAATTGCCATAGACTATTTGTTTGATAATTCTCAAATATTGTTTTTCTATTGAAAAAGGAAAATTTTCCAGATGTTGACGCTTCACTTGACTAACATTCTCTACTGGATCGTTAATCTCATAGTCAACTTTCAACTGGCTTCTGCCAATTTTCAATATCTCTTAACGATCTTCTCTGGAACGCAATATCTCATTCAAGGGCGAGTTTTTGAAAAGAAGTATTTAAGATTACTAAGCCTTTTCAGAATGTTAATGACGTATTTTAATTGGCCAATTAAAGGAAAAGGAAAATTTGCTCGAGTTTTCACTACAAAAACTGCTTAAATAAATGTATCATTTGCCTGCTTAATAAATTAATAAACATTGCCAAGACAAAAATATTTAATTTATCTATTTTGATTTATTCATCAAATGAAAGCAGAGCTAATTCGTATTTTGAAAAAGCCATACATTTGGCAACAGTGGCACCGTTACTAAATTTTTGGTACTTTTCCGTTATGAGGACCCACATAACGCCCGGTACTTTTCCGTTATGAAGACCCACATAGCGCCCGGTACTTTTCCGTTATGAGGACCCACATAACGCCCGGTACTTTTCCGTTATGAAGACCCACATAACGCCCGGTACTTTTCCGTTATGAAGACCCACATAGCGCCCGGTACTTTTCCATTATGAGGACCCACATAACGCCCGGTACTTTTCCGTTATGAAGACCCACATAACGCCCGGTACTTTTCCGTTATGAAGACCCACATAGCGCCCGGTACTTTTCCGTTATGAGGACCCACATAACGCCCGGTACTTTTCCGTTATGAGGACCCACATAACGCCCGATACTTTTCCGAGCGTTGATCGTCACTACTTAAGCGCATTCGGCTCTTGTTCAAGTTTCCAGGGATTTTGAATGAATCATCATGCTTTAAAGGCCTATAGCATTGCTTTGAAAACAATATTCTTATAACTTTTTCTATCATTGTATAGAGAAAATTGAAGGCTTTATTCGAAAGCCTTCAATTTTCTCTATCCAATCAAAATCCAAATCCGAGAAAATCCAATCAAACTCGATTTAGTGTCATTCGGACACTAAATAGAGTTTGATTGGATTTTCTTTCTAATGCAAATCAAAATATTGACAGCTGGAAACTTTGAAAATATCTGGAAAAGCAATTTTTGCTTCTTTGCAATCTTGCTTTGAGTTCTTTTAAATCCAAAATGCTTCAAAGATCAACTTATCGATGGAAAATCAAAGAAATGATCCGATTTTTCAGAGATTTCACAATGAAAACCCGCCCTTTCTCTATAAATCTGATGAAAATGCTGTCATTTCAACAGTTTTTCTCCCTCCCTTTCCCTTTATTCCCTTTGATGTGTCATTCTGTGATTTCTGTTCTTTTTCCACTTGTTTACCCAATCCCATTTATAGTATAAAAACCCAGCAAACATGATAACGCAATGGAAAAATAAAAATTTTTTTGAAGATTTCTATTGATTAACAAGTTTCCTTTCACAATTTCTGATCGCTTTTCGTTCTCCTCTTTCAAAATCAATTTCCAACTTATAGTAAACGATCTTTTTTGCAAAGCCGATGCTAAAAAAGTTATTTCAATTTGTTAATTTAGTTAATAATTTATTAATTTGGTTAATAATTTATTAAGTTAATAAAAGTTCGTTTAATTTAACGTAACTTAATGTTAATTTATTTGTTAATATTAAATTTTAGTTAGTTAGTTAGTTAGTTTAATTATCATGTCAAAATACAGAAAACTTGGATATACTGCTGAAATACTTCCGTCGCATCTAGGCTCGGTCTAGGCATCTAGTGCGCCAGATGCCGGTATTTTGCACTTTTCCTACGAGCGACGTCAAAGGCACGCACACTGATTTACTAACCTCATTGTGCTCTTTTTTCCTTCCCTGCTTAGCGCCGCATTAGCTCATTTGGTAGAGCGTCAGACTTTTAGGCGAAAGCAATCTGAATGTCGGGCGTTCGAGCCCCATATGCGCTAATCACTTTTGCATTTCTACAAAAACTTTTAGAATACTAAGGTTGACCTAAAGAAAGCTTTTCTAAATCAAGAAGCTAAAAAACTAATATGGCTCCATTTTCCATTTGTTCAAACACAAATCCTTTCAATTCCAAAGCAACGCTTTTCAATTTTCCATTACGTTTCTCCATGCAAAATACCACTCAAATACATGCTGACTTGGTTGAACAGTCATATCTCTCGATTGAACCAAGCAATTGTTGACGCCACAAATCCGGGAGCAACACATGATGTTTCAGCTTTCTCTCGATCAGCAGCTTTTCACCTTGAGATGAATAAGCAACCACGACAATATCAACTCATTCCCGATAAAGGATACGGAAATTCACCAATTTGCATGCCGATTATTCGAAACGCGAAACGCGATTCACCGAATGGAGCTTTTCATTGGTATGCTTTCAAATATCTGGCTTCGTTTTCGTTCTTTATAAAACTTTCATCAATTTGTACTTACAGTACTGGACAATGAAATATCATATTTGAAAAAAGATCGTCACTTTCGCGCGTCTGTAACTCCCTTGTCTTTGAGTTTAAACTATTATTGTTATACATTTTCTGAAAGCTCTTTTCAAGGGCTTCACAATGGTAATATTAATTTTTAGAAATACGGTAAAGACAAGGGAGTTACAGACGTGCGAAAGTGACGATCTTTTGAGAAAATCATTTGTACTTGAAAATTCGCGTTTTTTTTGACCAATTTTCGAGGAAAGGGGGAAAAGATCATTCGTGATCACAAAACTATTTGCTTTTCTTTCCCCTTTTCACTAAAAATATAATTTCCCCTCAACACAAGCTTTTCTTACACATTTTTCCTTTCGCTGTGCAATCGGGAAACTTTCTTTTTAGCTCTTTTCCTTTCCAAATAACCCTTTAACTTCTCAAATTGTTTTTTTGAAAAGCTTGATATAAATAGTCAAAGATTTAGCCTTAGAAACTAAACTTTATAAAATTAATTTTATAAAATATAAAATCTATTCGATTTTCGATCGATTTTTATCAATTTCTTTAAAGATTATTAAAGAAGGCTTTTGAAAAGTTTCAATTTTCCAATAAAAACTTTAAGCTTTAAGCATTAAAGCGCCAGATGGCCGGCCGGTTAGGAGTCTTGTCTCTTAAGCGAAAGGTCGAGGGTTCAATCACGTTGGCAAGATAAAAATGTTTCTTTTTCCCACCAAGTGGATTTTTTCTTTCACAATATTTGGGTAATAAGGGTAATAGAGGCAACGGCCGCAGTGCTAAAAAATTGTGTGGTTAGACCTTTATGTCTTATTACATTATTGCTTTTTTGTATCACATTATTGTTTTTCAATAAATGTACTTTTTTTTATTAAACTAAACGATTTAACAAAAGAAATCCCCAATCTAAACTCCGTTTTCTAAAAATCAAAACTTAATTATCAAAAAAAGTTTCAAATTGAAATTGAAAATTGAAAATCATTATTTCCATGCATTTATGCATTTCAAATCTAGCCAAAGTGATTTTTAAAAATTCAAAAATTTCCCCTTTTTCATGATTGACCTTGAAATTTCAACGATTTCAACCTTTAAAAATCGATTTTTTTTTGAGAACACTTTGAAAATTCTCTTTTTGATTTCTCTTTTTGATTAATCAAATTTTTCAGAGTACTCTTCAATTTTCAATCAGAAAATCTTCTAATCTTCAGAAAATCACTTACACAATTCTTGAGAAATGCTTTTCTTGATATTTCTCGTCATTGTCGCTTTGTGGCTTTTTCACGAAATGTACTGGAGACGAAGGAAATTACCGCCAGGTACTGGTTTCAGAAGGAAGAAATTAATCTTATGGAATGGCCGAGCCAGAGTCCTGATTTAAACCCTATTGAACATCTATGGGAAGTTCTGGAGAGAGGCTGTAAAGGTGTTAAGTGCTATAATCTTAATGAAAAATTCGAGCTTTTGGCTAAGAAATGGATGAAAATTCCAACAACAACCATCGACAGCCTCGATGCGTGCTCGGTGCCAGGCTGTCATTGATTTTAAAGGATTTCCCAGAAAGTATTGAATTGATTTATTTGTTTTTGTTGTAATTTAAAAGTTTAATGATTTGTTACGTCATTATTTAGAGTTGTTTTTAAAAGTTTCCAAAATTGTGTCCGCTACTGTAGATCAAAATATTGTTCTTTGTCCTTAAAAGTGTAAACATTTCCTTTCTAGTTCACTGAATTCTTCATTTCTTGCGAATTCAGCGCCAGAAAGCTTTGAGATTTGATTTTGAGAACAAAATTGAAAAGTTTAAATCAATAACAAAGTAAAGTCTAACAATAAGATGCTAATTGTACTTTGTGCTCGACATTTAGAAACGCATCCCTTCTAGTGCACTGAAATCTTTATCGGTTCTCGTATCAAACAACTGAGTTCAAGGAAAAATGAAATTTGAATGTAATTTCGTTTCCAGGTCCAATGCCATGGCCTCTTGTCGGAAATTTGCCGCAAATTCTCGCGAAACAACCCGGTTTTGATGCGTATCTTGATTGGGAGAAGCAATACGGACCTGTGTATACTTATTATTTAGGTAGAGTAGCTATAAGAATTGTTTATAATCGATTTCTAGGTAATATGGCTTGTGTGACCATCACGGACTACGATCTCCTCAAGAAATATATTGTGAATCAAGGAGAGAAATTCAGTGATCGATATCATTTACAAGAGTTTGTTGACATGTATAGAGGTGAGTTAATAAAGTAAAATAAAGAATGGGAAAAAAGATTTCCCGAGAGAGGGGTCGGAACCCTTTGCGCTCGGAACCCTTTGCGCCCGGCTCCTGGCTAGCTTGGCTAGCTTGGCTTGCTTGGCTTGCTTGCCTTGCTCGGGGTCGAAGGGGGGTCGAAACCTCGACCACCGTCTGTTTAGCCGCAAATGCTCTAACCACTGAGCTATCGGGTCTCTGTTCCGAGAGACGAAAGAGGAATTATAAGGGCAAAACGTTTTTACTGTTTTACTGTTTTTGTTCGTTTAAAGAAGGAACTTTTTGGCTTACGGTAGTTAAATGATCTTTTAAACGCCTTAAAAAGGTTTGCTAACTAGCTTGCTAAATTAAAAAATGAACTATGAACTATGCTAACTATGAAAATTATCTACAATCTATAAATGTTCCAATTTTAGGCGGTAACTATGGTATAATCGAGGCAGATGGAGATTTCTGGGTGAAACAAAGACGTTTTGCCATCTCAACGTTGCGCGATTTTGGAATGGGCAAAAATATTATGGAACAAAGAGTAAAGAAGAGATTTTTCTAGAAAATGAAGATTATTATA